ACGGACTATTTAAACAGCCGCACAACAATTTTAAGCATTAATAAAATATTGTCCATTTCTAAAAAACGAAAAGAATCTGTCAAGGTTATGGATACCATATACCTAATAGTAGTCGACTAAATCTCGGCAGGACCCACCACATACCACGTCTTATACGGACACTGACCTCGGATATGGATGGAGTTCCGGATAAGGAAAGACAACCAGAGTTCTACATGGAAACGATAAGGACTACTCGGATTGTATCCATATTGGTTTCCCTAGTTCATCAGAGATATGCCTGGATCGGCTCTATCCGGTACCTACAGAGGCCGGCCGTAGGGATCTAGCGCTATCTCTGATCTCGCCGAGCACAAACTCGAAGAGGAAGACTACCTATTGTCAACTACGAGTCAGAACTTCAGACCGCCATGTCGACAACAGTTAGATAGGCTACCCCAAATATTGTACTGGTATGATTATGGTGAATAAGAGCAATACCGGCTTCGGCCAACAGGATATAGGGTTATTACCTGACAATTCAGGGGCCCAAACCACTATAAAAATCCTCGTCTCCGTCTCTTTTACCTCAGTCTCGCATATATCCTAGTACCAACGATCCCCATACTATGCAAATACTGGAATCGCGACATCAAACGTCGACAAAATCGTCCTTTCATCCAAATGAAAATAAATTTAATAGAGGAAAACCCAACTTTTCAATTTAGGTACTAAATACTTTTATAAACATATAATGGAATCATTATGTGTTTGCTAAAAAATAAAAAAAGAAAAAAGTGCCTACACTATTCCATTTATAAAAGTACAAGTTTCTTCGTATTCCACCGATGAAAACTGACAAAAATGGAAGCAAATGAAGGAGGAGAACAAACTCTACACCTTTTATATGGAACCCAATCAAAGATTTGAGGTCGAAAACCTTCCCCCCTAATTTGTGAATGTTTAGGAGAGAGAAAACGCCAGAAATCCCGTTAACGGTCAGGCTGAGGGCTTATATGCCCCTAATCGATTATCCCGTGCGGCCCACAGCCCGGCGCTGGCATTTGCGTGGTTCCAGGCGGAGCCACTTATGGCCAGCCTGGAACCAAAAGGGGTCGGCGTCCAGGAAAAACATATCTGTAGTAGTATGGTAGTTTAACCCATGCTTAATTATATTGTCTATAATTTATTTTGCTTCAAAATCTCAAAGACTTGGAAGTCGAAGACCTGAGGCAACACGCCCTTAGACCGTAATTAATGCTCTTAGTTTTATAAAATGTTTTGTTTGTAAAACTGCATTGCTAGTTTGCACGACAAACTTGACCGGCCTTGGTATGCGCAACAAACAGATGGCCCCACGTATAGTTGCATAATGCCAGTAGGATGTTGATACCCCCACCCCTTATTGCCCCACCCTTTGGAACCTCAGCAACCATGCACTTGACCATATATAGTACAGATGGTCCAACTCACATCAGACTTGACTGTCGATACGGAAAAATGGGTTTATTGAAGCTTTGAAAACCTCACATATGGCGTCGGCGAGTTTGCATAGTAAAAATATTTTTTAAAACCCCATGATGCAAAGTGGTCAAACAATACTAATCAGAAGTATGTATTTCAAACTTGGGAGGCACGATATTTAGTAGCAACGGAACGTAATTGTACTAATAAAAAAAGCAAAGTTAAATAATAGTTCAAAGTAGTAGTTAATGCGATGGCCTAGTCTAGACTCAACTCTAGCACAAGTAACCACACGACAACCCTGAGAACTAGAAGCAGGTTAAAGCACAACTCTGCGCTTTCAAAACATACTCAAAAGAACCACTGAATTTTTGACTTTTCTTTTTTTGTCTTTTCTTTTTTCTTTTTATATTTTATATTTTTTCTTTTTCACCTTTCTACCTTTTCTTTTTTTTCTTTTGTTTTTTTCATCCAGAACGGACCAATGATCTTGAATAAGGACTTAAATATAAATATAAATATTACATGGACTCAAAATTAAAAGTGTAGATAAAAATTAAAGAGTGAAGTGCACATTGGGCCACATCTTATTACCAGAGTTGCAAGTTGGACTAAGGGTAAGCTAATAGTATCACTTTGTACTCGGTATTTTTGCACAAGTTTCATATTTGACTAGTGTTTCCTAATTCTCTTTTTTCTTTGCTTCATTGAGTTGAGGCTGATGTCTATTAGCTTGTGCGTGGTGCACCAATGCCCCTAATATTGTCCCATACTCTCGAGAGTGATTTGATGGCATCAGTGATGGGCTGTTTGATTTGGGGGAAGATGAGGGGGTGGTGTAAGGTGAAACAAATGGCTATATTATGTGGTCCAAATTGAAAATATTGGCTAAGACCTAGTCCAACCCACAACAAGGGTCAAAATATATGGCCTAAACTCCAATTTACTCAAAATTAAAACTTCTCAAAAATAGAATGCTTACACATCATGTCGGTTCTTTTTTGCCCAAATATGTCAAATCCGCTAAAGGGTATTTTTTTTTCTAACTTTCTTCTCCACTCTCAGGTAGCAGCGTGCTCGAACCCCAAACAGGTGGAGCTGGACTTGACCGAATAGGGAAAGTTCGGTAAACCAAGCACCCAAACTGTGATCTTCACGTGAAAAACAGAAGCCCTAACAAATCCTAACGGCAACTCCAAACTCGACCATTAAAAACTTCTGAAAACTATGAAAACAAAAACCAAAAACACTAGGGTTCAATTTTTGGAGTTATCGATGACAACAGAGATAAACTAAAACTGAACCCAACTCACCGGCATCTGCCAATGTACTAACTCGGTGACAAGCACGGACCCTAGAACAAAGTGACAAAAGATGCGAGACTCAAACTAAAAATTGAATCTAAACCTAAACCAGCACTCGACACGACGATGCAACCTAAAATTCAATAAAACAAAAACTAATAGAACAATCGAATGGCTCAAATTGTCTAGGTAATGGATCAATATTTTTGTGTGCAAATTTTCTGGTTATGGGTAGATAAATTATCTAACAGGCAACCTGTGCTATGATACCAACCAATAAGGAACTAGGGTCCCGATCTTTCGATAGGTATTGATAAACCCTCGATTTAGCGAAATCTTGACACACACGATCTGGCTTCTGATCTACGTAATCCGAAACCTGCGATCTCAACATCACGTCTCTTCTGGTTATCAACCATGTGATGTCCCGTTAATCTCGCTAAAAAGTCTAATCCCTGCATACAAATCAAAAAACACAAGGAAGAACAAGATAGATCACAACTCAATTTGCAAATGAATGATTAAGCACTCAAAGTTAGGGTTCCACGAGCCGAACTAGCGGCAAAGCTACAATGACAGAAATAATCTAATGAAAACCTGACTCTGAACTATGAAGGTTACATATAAATAAGATTAGGGATGTCCTAGGGCTACCATAAGGCGCACACCAACCATCTGAAAGTAGTGGGCCAACAAGTACTCATGGGCTTCGAGATTCATTCTAGAGTACTCCCTCTGGTTCTATAATAATTGACGTTTTGAACAAAGTTGAGGTTAAACTTTTATAACTTTGACCATCAATAACTTTAAAAATATTTAGTTTAAAGAAACTAGAAAAACATATATAGATTTTTCTTTCAAAACACTATAATAAAAGTAACCATGCATTTGTTTATTGTATATATTATAATAGAAAAATAAGGTCCAAGGTATATCTTGTAGAGCGTGTCATTGTCCAAAGCGTCAATTAAAATGAAACCGGAGGGAGTAGTGACTAGATCCGTTTGAAATTGATGATGTCATAAGGTCCGAATCCGAATCTAAAATATGTAGAATTTCATCTCTTACCGCCTATATACCAAAAGTGACGTGGTAATGTTGGATTAGACATGGGAAAGATGGCCGGTTTGGTTCCCAATCAATTTATTTGATCATCCTTATACTCGGTCTTTTTTATTTTACCCAAGAAAATATCTCTGCGAACGAGAACAAAAAAACTATGCAATAATGTTTATTCAGTTATATAACACGTAAATCTCGCATAGAATGCATACCATTTAGTTAATGAATACATAAGGTATATCCATGGTCATATCTGAGAACTAGTTAATTATGTCCTCATCACAAGTATATAGTCTTCTTTTTGGATAATGGGAAGAGGGTGCATTTATTCATTATTTTATACAATCTCATTCGACATTATTATGGCTCGGTGCTGTTCGGAGCCATAGTGGTTTCAATTCAAGGATGTGTAGGCGTAGTAGTGGTTTCCATGGACAAGAATGGGCAGAACAAATCGAAATGGGGCCGTGGAAATTGACTAATACCAAACCTAGAGCCTATAAGTTGCTGCTTAATCCTAGCTGCATTCGATGGCAGCACTGCCAAAAAAAACACAAGTCCCTCCGTTTCATATTAATTATAAATCGTTTTGATTTTCTTTGATAGTCAAATGTTTTTTAAGTTTGATAAATTTTATAGGAAAATATAGTAGTATTTTTAACACAAAACAAATATATTATCAAAATATATTCAATGCTACATTTAATGAAACTAATTTTGTATTTTATATGTTACTAAGTTTTTTATAAATTTGGTGAGACATAACAAAGTTTGGCTTGAAAACAAAGGCAAATTGACTTATAATATGAAATGGAAGGACTAACATCTAAAGTAGAACATATATATGTATCTACCAGTTAGAAGCAATGGAGAATAAGAGAAGACTAGTTATTGCATTGACCTAAGGTAAATGCCAATGGAAGCTTCACTAAATGTCTGGGTGGGTAAGCCATCGCTGGCAGAGCAGTTGGAGATATTTCCCGTTAATTCTTTCCATTTGCACATAGGCCAACTCAGTTCAAGTGGCCAAGTAGATACCCAGTGCTGTCCAAAATCAACCTATTATAGTATACTTAATTTGACCCACGGCATCATCGTGGTGTCGTCTCTTCCACGTCAACCGTATTACAATCGAAATCACTATGGACCTTCCTCATCAACTCAATGATCGACGTATATATATATACATGGTAACCAAGGTACCCTTCAACGCGTGTATTTCTATGCTTTTGATATTGATCTTGCATCTTCAACCTTGGTCACAGGTATGCTTTCCGTCCACGTATTCATCGGGCTGCTTCTCCTCTCCCTGCACGCTCCTCCATATTCCGCTGCCGTCGACGATACTCTCGCAGCGGGTCAAGTGCTCGCCGTCGGTGAGAAGCTCGTCTCGAGGAACGGCAAGTTCGCGCTCGGCTTCTTCCAGCCAAGTGCAATAGCCATCAGTAAGTCATCCAACTACACTAACGCCCTCGGTTGGTACCTTGCCATTTGGTTCAACAAGATCCCGGTTTTCACCACTGTATGGGTCGCCAATAGGGAGAGGCCAATCACCGTTCCTCGGCTCAATTCAACATGGCTAAAAATGTCAGGAGATGGCAACCTCTACATCCTAGACCATGCCACTAATTCCATCATCTGGTCCACTGATCACGTCGTTAATACGACAACGGAAACCGGCATGAACACGAGTGCCACTCTCCTGAATAGCGGAAACCTCGTAATACGAAACCCGTCAGGTGTAGTCTCGTGGCAGAGCTTCGACAACCCAACTGACGTTGTTCTTCCCGGTGCCAAGTTTGGCTGGAACAAGGCCACTGGGTTGAATCGCCTTGGGATATCAAAGAAGAGCCTCATCGATCCAGGCCTTGGATCATACAGTGTTGAACTAGACACGACTGGTGCCAGAGGGCTGATCCTCAAGCATCGCAACCCTTCCATGGAGTACTGGTCATCTGATAGAGCACTGATTATACCGGTACTTAAGTCTTTGTTTGAGATGGATCCACGGACCAGAGGCTTGATTACCCCGGCATACGTCGATAATAGTGAAGAGGAGTACTATATCTACACTATGTCGGATGAATCATCCTCTGTGTTTGTGTCGTTAGATGTTAATGGGCAGATCAAGATGTATGTATGGTCACGAGCAAACCAGTCTTGGCAAAGCATATATGCACAGCCTGTTGATCCTTGCACCCCCTCTGCTACCTGTGGACCTTTCACCATCTGCAATGGTAATTCCACTCAAACATGTGACTGTATGGAGAGTTTTTCTGTGAAGTCACTGTGGGATTGGGAGCTTGATGATAGAACAGGAGGGTGCATCAGAGATACCCCATTGCATTGTGTAAGTGACAAAAACATGACAAGTTCAACTGACATGTTCCAACCTATAGGTCTTGTTACATTGCCCTATGACCCCCAAATTATGCAAGATGCTACAACTCAGGGTGAATGTGCACAAGCTTGTCTCAGTGATTGCTCTTGCACAGCTTATTCTTATCAAAATAGTAGATGCTCTGTCTGGCATGGGAAATTACTTAATGTAAATAAAAATGATGGCATTTACATTAATGCGGACAATGTTCTGCACCTTCGTCTTGCTGCCACAGATTTCCAAGATTTGAGTAAAAACAAAAGAAAAACAAATGTTGAACTTGTTGTGGGCGCAAGCATTGTTAGTTTTGTGTTAGCATTGATCATGATACTGCTAATGATTAGAGGGAACAAATTCAAGTGTTGTGGTGCACCATTCCATGACAATGAAGGCCGTGGTGGAATAATAGCCTTTCGATACACTGATTTAGCTCATGCTACTAAAAACTTCTCGGAAAAATTAGGAGCAGGTGGGTTTGGCTCAGTATTCAAAGGAGTGTTAACTAACATGGCTACCATAGCAGTGAAAAAGCTTGATGGTGCCCATCAAGGTGAGAAGCAATTTAGAGCTGAGGTGAGCTCCATTGGAATTATCCAACATATCAACTTAGTCAAATTGATCGGCTATTGTTGTGAGGGTGATAAGAGATTGCTGGTATATGAACACATGTTAAATGGTTCTCTTGATGTTCATCTATTTCAGAGCCATGCAGCTGTCCTAAATTGGATTACCATGCACCAAATAGCCATAGGAGTTGCTAGAGGATTGTCTTACTTGCATGAGAGTTGTCGTGAATGCATCATACATTGTGACATTAAACCAGAAAACATACTTCTCGATATATCATATTTTCCAAAACTTGCAGACTTTGGGATGGCAACATTTGTAGGAAGAGATTTTAGCCGAGTTCTAACTACTTTTAGAGGAACTGTAGGGTATCTTGCACCAGAGTGGATTAGCGGAGTTGCTATTACTCCAAAAGTTGATGTTTACAGCTTTGGTATGGTGCTATTTGAAATCATATCGGGAAGGAGGAATTCTCCTGAAGTACACACTAGTGGTAATTATGATGCTACTTATTTCCCTGTGCGAGCGATTAATAAGCTGCATGAGGGAGACATGAGTAGTTTAGTGGACCCAAGATTACATGGTGACTACAATTTGGATGAGGTTGTCAGGGTCTGCAAAGTTGCTTGTTGGTGTATCCAAGATGATGAGTTCGATCGGCCCACAATGCGTGAAGTGGTCCGGGTTCTTGAGGGTCTACAAGAGCTTGATATGCCCCCAATGCCAAGGCTACTTGCGACTTTAACAAACTTCTCTGCTGTGGCTTCAATGTAATTGTGTTTTCTTCTACTTTCTGCAAATTATAATTCTACATGGAAAACATTGATAAAGAAAACATGGTTATACTTGCTAAATTATATCTTTTTATTTAATTGATGGCTGCTTATGGTAAGCAAGTATTGTATCAAATCAAAGAAGAACAATAAACATGTCTTTGTTTTGATGCGATATGTACCCATTACGTGGTAATTGATTTTGGATATATCCCGACATGAATCCATTACATAGTGCTTGATTTCTGGGATATACAGCTTTTAAATTGTTTTATTGTAATCTGCCACCACTTCTGATTGTCTAATAACTAAAAATGTCAAGGCATGTAGTACATGCAAGATGCCTTCTGAATGTGTCTGATATAGTTCCTAGAGAAGAGCCCATTGGGTGCTAGGATAATGCATTGTCTTCATCTTGTATTTGCATCCTCAACTGCAAGAGATCGAACCTTGACATCATAATCAGCAAAAGGATGACACTGAAGCAAATTAAGGTCTATTTTAGTTTCCACTCTTCCTCTATTACTACTAGCATAGCATGATGCATTGAAGCGCATCTGGTGAGGTTCCTTGTTGTAAAATCATGGTGATGATTAGTTTGTATTGAAGAATTGGCAAAGATGTTGATACAAGTTGATTTTAATGCTTATTATTTTATAACAGTTCATGTACATTACATATACCGTTGTTGCGCTAATTTGAATCAAGCTAGGTAGGACTTGTGCTCGGAACATAGCTTTATTGATGTTCATGTGGTGTTTTGCTTGAGACTGGAGTAGCACAGTCGGTGGATGGATCAGGACGAAACTAAGGGGGTGTTGAGGTACATACTGTTAAGGATGTCATGCGGGACTGTCTCGGATAGGTCTGATCTTATTCCTTAGCCGATATATCTCTACAATCAAAATGATGCTTTAGATAGAGTTGTCATATCCATCACATTAGATAGATCTATCGCCTCACTGAGTATTAGATTATTCTACACAATCTTGTGCTGCATTGGTTAGGTTCGATCTACTACATTGTTGTTGATAATCTAAGTCTTCATAAGCCGATAGGTTCATGCTAATGTTTCGTCCGAGTGTTAGCCGATCTTATCTGATGTGCTAAATTTCTCTTCTATTGTTTTACTGTCTTGGTTAAATTTAACACATGACTACCCTGAAAATCAATCAAAACCTTGATTATTTAGACCTTATACTTCCTTTCATACTTAGTGTTGCATCAATTGGGTTTGGCCTACTATGTCATGCTTGGAATTGTAAGAACTAACTTTCTCTTTCATTGCCGATAAGGGTATCATCGGGGTTTCAATCGATGAGTTATCTAAATGTTACACCAGCTTATATGGTTTATATACAAGTTTCATTCATACATGGGATTTGAGATGAAACATGGTTAACCTTTGGACAATTAACGAAACAACCCTTAAAAATACAAAAAAGACTAAAATATATTTACTTTACTTTATTTTCTAAATATATAACTTTTGAGTTTGTAATTTATTTATAATTAATGTCCTTTCCAATATTTATTTTTTTAGTTGAATGACTGCTAGTCTTCTCCAAGCAGTATATATTCTATAAATCAAAAAAAGTTATTTACAAAAGAGTTATCTTAGGAAATATTACAGGGGTTTAAACCAATCAAACACAAATTGTTTTAAAGAGTCTTTCATTCTATACAAATTGAACTCTCCAAGCTTCAAAGCTTAGATGCACATTCTGGAAGATTAGTCCATTCCTTTGTTTCCATATATGCCAGCATGAGATGAAGAAAAATTCCAAGAAGCATTTTTGTGAAAAATGTAACCAAGCCAACACTATCATTTGGAAGAAGCCGATATCTATGTTCCACGTAATTCCTAGATGCTGTCAACATCTCTGGCTGAAAGTACAAGTGAAGAAAAGGTGCAATTTTGTTTCTCTGTGCCCCCTTGAACATAGCACACAAGTGAGATCACATATTCATTCGCAAAATGATAACAATCAAGCATATCCCTTAAATTAAGCCTATCACTGAGCAAAAGCCACGCAAACACCTTGGTCTTCATCACACAGCATATCTTCCAAAGCCAAACAAGTGGCCTTGGGGATTACAAAGGCAGGAAGTCGAACTTATAGAACTTTTGAGCAGTTTACCTCTCTGAGTTCCAAATGTAACTCCGTCTGTCACCATTGGACATTTGTAAGTGAAGTTGAATCATCTCATTCTCCAAAGCAAGAAACTCCTCATATGCTTGAACAGACAGGGGCAAGAAGAAAGAATACTCCAATGGCTTTAAGCTCATCTGCTTGACAGTTTCTGACTTGTCCATGGCTAGATTATACAAATTAGGATACTTAGTACTTCTTATTTCACCATTCCAAAGGTCTTCCTAGAAAAGGACTGATGTCCCTGAGATTACTGAGCACTTTGCTGTGCCTTAGTAAATATCAGATAAAGCAATGATACCTTTCCACCAAAAGGTTCCAGTATTTCTTTTCATTTCTATTTTAAGAAAGTGCATCCAAGATTCAAATATTTGAATTCCCAAATTCCTTGCATCCATGTTTTAAGCTTTTCACCTTCCAACCCACACTCTCACCTTTGTTCTTACTGTCATTTGCTCCTCCACCAAATCGTAGATCCTCCTCAGTATGTTTCCGACTTCCATGAGTACAATCCTATATGTCTCACTTATACACTCTTTATCCATTTTATCTCAAATACTAAACTGACAAACTCTTCTAAAATCAGCATCTAGTTAATATAGTTTTTAGCCCCGCCACCTCAGATACCATGCCACTAAAACCAAACAAGACACCATAGTGTTTATACCCCCATTAACTTCGCCCCACTACCAAAACCAAATTAATGTTAACACTAAAAAACCCCACAGTTACTCTAGCCTACACCCTAATTCTTTCCGCACACAATTCTACCATCCATGCATACCACCCCCAAACAACTACTGAATTTCTCAACCTAACAGTCTAATGAGCCCCATAACGGCCTGAACAAAGCTACGCCACATCAACCTCCACTCGGTGTACCAATCCACTGTTGTCAAAACCTACAATGATCCGGCCGTGTGCAACGAACTACTTTTTATCATGTGCTTTAATTTCCCATACACACCCCTCAAACACCTCAGGCCCAATCCAATCCACTCGGTTTGACATGTATCCAAATAATCTGGCCACAAAAGCTTCCACGACTATTGTATTTTTCCCCTCACAAATCCGCATTACATCTTCTAAATTTCATGTTAATAAAATTAAAGTTCAACTCTTTGGCTGCCCATTTCCTTTTCCGCAGCCCACACTTCCCTCAAAATTCTATTGACCCAATTTAATTATCAAATAGGCTGTCGGCTCATTTCTTTTGCATTGTCTAACGACACTAATTTTCTACTTTTAGAGGGAGTGTAGGCGGGAATCATTGTTGTAGTAGTGTAGGTATGATACCATGTTGACCTCGCATATGTAAAGTATTATGTTGAACCGATGGTATAACATATTATCTAGTACTCCTTTTTAATATAGATTCATATAATTAAATAGATAATTAAGCAAAGTAATAGTGTATTAGGCATTCTCTAAAACTTTTGGGTTATATCTAAAAATCCAATACCCTGCTTGAAAAAGTTGCATGCAGAAGACTTGAACTCGGTGCTGGACAACAACGGGCTGGCAAGCTGCCACCTGATGTGGCCCGGTTCTGGTAGCTGTACACTGGCTGGATGGCCGGGGCTGAGGAAGCATCTTCCGCTGTAAGCTGTAATGGCTAATCTGAGCTGCATTCACTCGTCGTCGATGAGTTGCCAGGCCCTTCCAATGATTAATTAGCCATAATAAAACTCCCTACTACATTAAAAATGGAGTCATGGAGTTGTTCTCCTTTTGTGCTCTCCTTGTTTGCTCCTTTGTGTTAACAACTCTTTTCTTCCAAACTCAGTGATCTCAAAAAACAACCAAATTCAAAGCAATCTCAGGAAAAATAGAAGAGACATTGAATGAAAAGAAGTAGAGGAAGCTACTAGAAGTAGCAATGAAGAGAAACACAAGAGAGTAAAAGAGGGATAGAAATCAACGAAGTTCAAGTGTAAGAGGGCTTGGCCTCGGAGAGTGTGGGCGAGCTGACCCTTGTAGCTATAAGTATATATGAGCATGTACGCGGGCATACGGTGCATACGGGATGATCCACGATGTGGTCGTATGGCATGACGTATGTCCGCCGAAAATTGTACGTATATACGTGGTGCTAATAGGGGATGTTCCTGGCTTGGGTTGACCAACGAGGATGTCGGTATCTTAAGGGGGTGAGAATGTGACATCCCGGCTCAGGGCTTAATAGGATTAACAGAATACTCATATCAACAAGTTGCAACTTCTTTTCCGGAAGCTGATCTCGAAAAAACTCAGAGGTTAAGCGTGCTTGGCCTAGAGAAATTTCGGAATGGGTGACCGACCCGACTAGGAAATTAGCCTCGGAATGGCATTTATGCATTCTTACGGGTAGAGGAAGGGTAGGGTTGTCACCATCTGCCGCCTACGTCACTTTCCATAGGGCACACCCGAATCCAACGGCATTTATCTAACCTAGGTACCATGCTTATGCTTATCCTAGGGACTCTCACCCTACAGATGAATAAGTTGGAGCTAGAGCAAGCTATATTAAAGGCCATTGGATCGTTACCGTAGCATGGATCGACTAGCCTAGGATGAAGCAAATATACGAAGAAAGCATGGATCGACTAGCCTAGGATGAAGCAGATATACGAAGAATATATTACTCATAGAACATATACTCAATAAAGAAATACACGGACTATGAGCATAATTAAATAAGAAAGATAATTCTATTAATTTAATTATAGTCTTACAAGAAGAGTAAAGGACTAACAACATACCCGAAACTGGACTATGAGCATAATTAAATAAGAAAGGTAATTCTATTAATTTAATTATAGTCTTACAAGAAGAGTAAAGGACTAACAACATACCCGAAACTATGAGTAGACTATAGGACCGAAGCTTCTACGCTTTTTTTGATGGTCCTTAAATCATAATATCCGACTGTCAACGCCTGCATATGAGATAAAATATGGTATCCTACTTAGTGGTAGGGATTATTACTAATCATTTCCACTGGTGTTGGTGAAATATGTGTATGCAGGTGTTTTGAGAAAAAAAAACCCTTCATGCGACAAAATACACCTTCGGACAATCAGAACACATTTACACGGATTGTGTAAGATCAAAGGGTGTTTTGATTCTTATTCTGTGATGAATAATTGGCATCTGTGATTATTGGTTTTAATATTTGGAGATTATCATCGAAGTGGTCATGTGTGCGGTCTGACCGGCCAAGCCCGCGGTCTGACCGGCCGACGCTGAGTCGGTTTCGGTTTCGGGTTGTTTCTTTGGATATCCGTGATTGTTTCATGGTTATGGCTTCTAGATGGATTCGATACGTATGTAATACTGTTGTTTGCTAACAATGAGTCAAGTTAGGGATAGCTTGGTCTCGGAATATGGTTTCTTTGTTGTTTCATGTGTAGGTGACTCGATGCCTCGGGAGAGTATTTGCGGTGATGGACTGGGAGTCGGCTTGGAGGTAAGACGATGTCCGTGGTGGTCAGATATCATGCGGGATGCTAGGGCTAGAGTTGATGCACGTGGTTGATGGAGATTCCATCTGGCATATGATGGAGGTATTGTGTGCGTATGGGATGCGGAGTCGAATTTGGAAGGAGTCCAAATTTGGTACGATTGGTTATGTAAAGTTTCTTTCTTGTACTAGAGGGTTTCCTAAAGTGTTTAGGACTCTTAGTATGAGTTTGGTTCGTGGCTTTAGGCTACCTACCTCATGTATAAATAGAGGGGGAGCGTGAGGCTTCCCGGTATCACTTTTGTATCGCTTTTCAGAGCGTAGAGTTGCTAGTTTAGTTAGGGTTTCGAGTTTAGTCGAGATTTTTGTAAGGAGTGTTGTTGGTGCACTTTGTAAACACATAGAGAAGAAATAAAGTTGTCATCTACTTTGTGTTTCACCGGGTTTCGACGGTCTAACCGGCGACTCACCTGCGGTCAGACCGGCGGCAAGGCGGCGGTCAGACCGGTTGCACTAGGGCGGTCAGACCGGCGGCGCAAGCAGGCAGCAGCAGGCGATTTCGACGGTTCGACCGATCGATCTACATCGGTCAGACCGACGTTCATCAGGCGGTCAGACCGGCGCGTCTACTTCGGTCAGACCGCGATCATCAATTTCGAGAGTAACTTTTATTTCCGCTAAAAGTTTTCGCTTTTTGGGTATACCAACCATTCACACCCCCTCTGGTTGGCTTAGTTCTTGTGATTCGATCCTACAGATTGGAGGGCCCATATGTCAATCAAAACCACTAAGAATTGGGCTAAATCATAGTACATGTTGTTGGTGGCCCATTAAGCTACCTTCCAGCCAAAGAAGAGGCCAGGAGGAGGGTTTTTGGGTTCGGCCGAACCCATCCTAAAGCCGTTGATCGCCATCTTTCACATGTACACTCCTGATTTCATCCCAATGATGGTTAAGGGCATTTAAGATATTTCCCATAATTGTAATTGTCATTTGGAGCCTATAAAAGGATGAGCTCACTTCATTCCAATACACACAACTTTGAGCTGAATTACAAGAGGCTCTATTGTATCTGTTGTACATTAGAAAATAGGTAGAGAGTGGGGGGAAGCTCTGGAGGAGTGCCCGGAAGTTTTGCGCTCTCTCCAACTTCTACCTCGACAAGTGTAGCTTTCTAGGAGAAATTCTGGAGGAGCACCAGAGCTGTCGGTACACTATGCTCCGGGTTCAGAGAAACTTCTTCTATAAAGTAAGCATTCAGGATCATTTCTTATGTTATTTAATTATTAGTCTAAGCAAAATAGATTTTCATCTTTGCAGGTTCATTGTTTAGTATTCATACTAAGTGTTGTAGTGCTAGGACTCCGGATAAAGAAGGAAGTTCCTGCTCAATTATTAGAGTAATAAATAATAACTTAGGTGTGATGTCTAGGTTAGAGATTACCTTTGTTTGTTGTTATCTCACGGATTTGGCAGAGGTAGACGACAGGTGGTGACAGCTCTGTATTCCTTCCCATTAATCCTCCACGTTCGGATACATCATAGAGCTATAGCCGAAAGCACGCTGGCAGATTAGCAGGGGTCGGTGCCCGAAGCAATAGATAGAAAATTATCTTTACTTACCTTAGATAATTGAAACATATAGTAAGTCATCTCTAGCCTAACTAGCCGACCAATAGTTATTGTCCTTGGAAAGTCTTAGCCTTAACTAGATTACACACGTTCCCTGAGTTCGATATCCTTTTGTGGTCACTCGAAGGTGAAGTGCTATAGTGGTATTCCGTGCGCTTGCGGATTTATCTGTGGTCATAAGAAATACCTACAGCTTTATTGTAGGTCGGATTTATTCCTACTAAACTATAGAGAATACGATATGGAAGAGAGAATTGCTACTAAAGGTGTGTGTTGCGAGTAAAGAGAGTTCATCCTTTTATAGTTGCTTACGACAGTTACCAATGTTGGTTAAATCACCACAACCGCCATCTAAGAGTGCACAAGGAGTCTCCACATGGAAGGTCGGCCCGGGTGGCGCTGTTCCTAGTTTGGCCAAACCAGAGTAACCGCCTTACTCCACCGACTTTGGTTGGTGGATGACAGGGGGGACCCTATGATGGTTCCCGGGTGGTTGGCCCCACTTTGAGTCGGTTTGAGCTAACTTGTGGAGCCCTTAATCCATGTGCTCGCACGTGATTCGCCGAAAGTGTGTTTCCTTGAATGCCGGCTTAATTTCTCCTTCACTTTGGTGCATAATCCTTGCATCCATGTTAATTCTCTAATCCTAATCCAACTACATTATTTATTATTGGTATATGTGTAAGAAATGATAATTTTCTCTTTATTCATGGTGCTAGTTGGTGGTTAAAATTGGAACTTAACGACCGTCAACATCCTCTAACTCCAGAATGCAGTATTCGAACTCTATGTATTTCTAGCCATCTAACATAAGAGTTAGCTCAATTTCTCCATTATCACCCAAGGCTACACATCATGTAGTCTAAAACAATTCCACGAACCATCAGGAAGAAATAAAGCACATCTCACACATTGTCTTGTAGCTAGAACAAATAGTGGAGACATCCCAACAACCCCCACTTTCGCTTGCATGGCAGTAGCATGATTTCTCATAACATATGAACTTTCTTGAGGCGGTCCACAACTTCAACTCAATAAACTCTAGCCTTGATATTTCATTAAACAATGACACTAGGAACACAAGACCTGCATTTGTTTGAGACAACAATGGTAAAGACTGCATACATTTCTTTCTACCTTCATTGCCCCAAAAGGATGGTCATGGTTCGAGCTGTTTGTTTGGCACGTATACCTTTGTGACTGCATCGAGGAGGAGGTGCTATGGATTAGCATCAAGAGGTTTTGTAGTCATCAATACCTTGACATGTCCCACACATTCTGTCAAAAACTTAGCATCCCTTCTGTTTGATGTCAGCAATAACTGTTGATAAGAGGAAGTCCAACGATGCAAACGGTGCTGATAGGACGTTTTATGCACCTATATGTTCTAGTTTGGAACGCAACCACGGCTCAATTGGTACCACCATTGACATCGTGACCAACCATTGAACACTTGATGTGCGTCACCTTGAACTAGTCAGGGGTGTCAAAGTAGGTGGCATTGATTCATGGAGGTTGTGGCAATGGTGGTACATGTAAGCACCATATGCGTAGCCACGGAATGATTGGGCTCAACATGGCTGAAGCATTTCATCAAGCATTCGGGGTGTGTGACCTTAGAAAGATCCTTGGTGATGATGAAGTGTCCGTGATCCTCTTCCTCATTATCCCTAAGCTTTATTATGACCGTTGGAGTAGTTCACTCGATGATGTGGTTTGAGCTCGCCGTCATATCGTTGTGAGGGCACTTCATCGAACACCTAGTGGATACTGAAGAAGGAGATTCTTGGGGTGGTGGAGATGCAGCGGCCTCGGTGGTGGGGGTGAGATCCTTGATGGAGGCACTGATGAATTCCACATATTCATTGCTCCTTTTTTCTCCTATCAAGCCGAACACCCTCAAGAAAGCGATGTAGCTTCTCATCAATTCAACATTGGGCATCCTTTAGTTCCTCTCTTGTAACTGATGGAGTGCTTCATCCCATGTGATCTTCTCCTCGTGCGTGAGGACAAGAACATCCTCAAACAACTCCAATGGGTTTGACATGTTGTCGAACAGTCACCTTAATTGAACACCTAAAGTATCAGCTTAAAATATTTAATATCTATATGAATTAGAAATACAAGTAAATATATGTTCCCAAATTCGATTCGGAGGAAAAAATATGGGATAAGATACGAGATGAGTGATATATTATCCAACCCTACCCGTACCTAGTTCCGAATTTAAAGAAAAGTATAGATCATAACAGTAAGTGCAATTTACTCTTTCAAAACAAAAAAAAAACAGCTGTCGCCGCCGCAAATAGGTTGAGAGTAACGGCGCTCCATGATTTGCCGTGCCAGTTAGTTAGTAAGTACTGGATATACATTCCAGAAAGGCTTCACGAGATCGTTTATCTTTGCAATAATAACCCGACCCCCCGAAAGAGAAAAAGCAACGCACCGCACAGTTTATAATAAAGCTCGCGCGCGCCTCACGTACGTACGTATAGCGTCGTAGCCCGATCGATTCCAGCAAAAACCGATCGAGAGAACGTACGCTTTGAGTATGGACAGGCGACGGCGTGTGCACGTCGCCTTTCTCGCCGTGCTCGTCGCCGTCGTCGCGCTCGCCGGAGCTATCGCTGCAGCCGCCTCCGACGCGCGGTCCAGAAACGGCGCAACGGCGGCGGTGGGTGGGGAGGCCGTGGTGCACCGGCGCATGCTGGCGAGCAGCATCCAGGACTCGGTGCTGAACGCCAACAAGCCGGCGTGCCTCCAGTCGTGCACGGGGGCTGGGCAGCCGTACACCGGCCGTGGCTGCACGAACGCCTACCAGTGTAAAGGCTGAGCAGCAGCAGCATTACAACCGGCCGTACGTACGTGATCGATAATGTCGATTAATCACGTACTCCGCAGCGGCGGCGTCGTTCCTTAATTTTCTTCTTCGTTGATTAGCTCTTGCATGCTCAAATCTTTGGAATGTTCCCAGCTTTGATCTCCCTGATCGAATTTGTGGGTGTTATACTGTTAATGTGATTGATTTCGAGCGGATCAGTGCGTGTTCGTGTAATATGTTTGTTGCTGCTGCTGCTCTGCAGTTTGTTGTGTTTCTGGGTCGAACTTGTATTTTCATGTTACAGATCATAATTAAGCACGTAGGGCCGGAGGCACAATCATAGGGCGCGCGCGTCAGAGGCCCCCCGCGTTCGCATTTTGTTTTTCCCGATTTTGACGCGCGCGTTCTTTTTTTTCCCGTTTCTTTCCTTTTTTTTTTAATCACCTCTTTACAAATACATAATTAAAAGTTTTTAATTTTGGTTTGAAAGATTTCAAATCTTGACTGAAAGTTTTCAAATCTGGGTTCAAAGTTTTCAAATATGAGATGAAAGTTTTAAATTTGAGTTGAAAGTTTTCAAATGTGGGTTGAAAGTTTTAATTATGAGTTGAAAATTTTTAAATCTGGGTTGAATGTTTTCAAATCTAGGTTGAAAAGTTTTTCAAATTTAAAATGAAAATTGAAAGTTTTAAATTTAGAATACAGTCTTAAATTTGGAAAGTCAAATAAAACAACCAAACGCTAATACAGAATATAAATCTAAACTAATCACAATGCTAATCACATTTCCTAATACAACATAATTACCTATAGACGTTAATCATGTTTTTCTAATCTGATTTTAACCCACTGCATTAACGACACGTGGTCTTTCTGGGCGCAAAAAAAGAAATAAAAAAGAAACGATGACGCGATAGCGCGATGGTTTGGACCGCGTGAGATGGATGGGCCAGAAACACGCGCGACATAAGTTTATAGCGTACGCGCTAATTAGCAAAACCGCAATCATAGGTCTCTCGTGAGCTCAGCGATGGTCCTAACAGGGCCCAACCACGAAAGGCCGAAAAATCAAGTGCTCAACCCGGTGGGCCATTAATGGGCACATCGACGAGCAGCATGAATTGTACAAAGGAAAAAGTCCAGTTTGGGTCCCTCCAATATAGGTTAGATTTAGAGTATATCCCTCGACCACAAAATTGGATATAATAGCTTATCCAAATATTAAAACCGGGCAAAATGACTCCTATGACAATATTGGAAGCGGTTTTCACTGGCGTGGTATCCAAGCTGGGTCGCTGACCACGTCACCGGTGGCGAGGCGGCTTCTTCCTCGACCATGGTATGACAAGGGTGCTGCAGTCCAAGGGAAAGGCATTGTGGCTCTCCTTCCACGACAAGAAAGGAGAAATAGTGGTTTAGTCACTAGCATGTGGGCTTCACCTGAGCCCTACTTATTTTTTTCTTTATTTGTAATGCTATTACATTGTTAATGACAAAATTTGGTCTCTTTTTTTTTCATCAACAGCTATGTAAGTGCCACCTAAGATGAAGATAAGGTAAACAAACACCACATCAGCGAAAACCACCTTCAACAGTATTGTCCTAGGAATCATTTTACTCTAATTTTAATAGTTCGAGGAGCCCGTATCTCTGGTTTACAGCCGAGGGATATACTCTAGATTTGACCTGTATTTTATACTAGGAAGTCAAATTGGACATTTCCTTTGCACATTTATATATAGTGAAATCACTTGAATAACGGAGCAATTCTTCCCTCTTTACCTTACTATATGTTTTTTTTTCATTTCACTTCACTTAGGCTGCTACATATAACTCTACTTCAGACTCAAACCCACCTACCGGTGTGAGCAGTAAATGGATGATTTGCCAAGCCAGGCATTGCCGTCGGTTAATTAGTTGTAATGAGCTACTGTCATCTTTGAAATTTACTGCTACCAGCTTTGATCTCTCTTTGTTGGTGTGATGTGAATGTGATTGGTCTCTAACTGAGTGCTTGTCAGTGTTCTAAAAATCGGCCCTAGGCGCCGCCTAGGCGCCCATTAGGCGCTAGGCGCCGGGTAGCCGCCGCGATTAGGCATTCAATGGTGCATTAGGCGGTTAAATTACTTAGGTAGTGTTTTATTGCTATTTTAGTGTTATATAGTCTAATTTCTATGCAATATGCCTACTAATTTCTTGAATTTAACTATTTGACCCGACCTAGGCGCCCGCTAGACGCCGCCTAGGCGCCAATTAGGTGCTAGGCGCCCCCTATCCGCCCAACTAGCGCCTAGCGCCTTCTTGAACCATGGTGCTTGTAGTATCAAACTACTGCGAGAGCTCGATGGCAGTGGTCGAGTCCGAGTACTGCATTAAGGGGGTGAGGGGTCGTGCTCAGAGATGGCTTCGAACATCGGCGGCAGCGGAAGAGCTCGAGGACAGCCGCAACTGAACGTGAGCTCAGGGAAGGCAGGGGAGACCAGATGTGAGCTCGAGCACAGCGGCGATGACAGCGGACGAGCTTAGGGACAGCGACGGACCTAGCTCGGAGAATGCTTCGGGAGGACGGGCGGACGGAAGGGCACAAAATAAAAAATTTCACTCCCTGTTGACATACTCCCTTTGTCCTATGTTAAGTGCAGCCATGATTTTTCGCACCCAACTTTGATCGTTCGTCTTATTTAAAAACTTTTTGAAAAAAATTTAAAAACATAAGTCAGGAGTAAATTATTGTTCATATTTTATCATCTCATAACAACGAAGAAAACTAATTATAAAATTATATTGGATGGAAAATACTGAAATTCCTGGGCGGTTTCTGTTTTTGTCCACACTCCAGGGATAAGACAGAGATTTCACCATCGAGGTGCCACGTAAGCTGCTGATGTGCGTCAAAATGGTAACCAAATTAGCGGTGTCTATAGTGGCGTTTGGAAATAAGGGCATTAGCAGTGCGTCTTCAGGTTTTGCCGGACCTCACATGCCAACTAGACAAAGAAATATATAAGCTACATGCTCCACGGTGCAAGTTACCTATACGGCTTGTTTGGCAATTTGAGAGAAGGGATTAGAAGTTTACACGAGGGAATTGATGGTGAGATTAAGATGGGAATTTGATTTTTCATCCCAGTCTCTTATTTGTTAGAGGTGGTGGAAATTGATAGGGAGTTTAGTTGGAGATTAGGTCATTAATGAAAACGGATGGCTAAGATTTGTTTTAGCGAAGTAAAGGAGGAATTCCCTCCCAATTACCACCCCCTATCCAGGTATTGAAAAGGAGGGAGTTCATTCCTCAATTCCCCGTCTCCATCCCACCAAAATTCCCATGTCTTCCAACTAAACAAAACATTTAATAGCCTCATCCCTCTAAACTCCCAATCCCTCTTAAAAACTCCCCCAACCAAACGGACCAAGGGTCCCACTAGTACTATCTTTTCACTTTTTAACTCCCACTCTCTCTCCTTTAATCGATTCCCCACTAGCAGCCCACGACGGAGCCACACCACGAAGGAAGGCGTCGGGGCGGGGGCGGCAACAGCGACGGGGTGGCAGGGCTCGCTAGATCCACCCCTCCTCTCCTCCGCCGAAGTAGCAGCGGGTCAGTGGAGCGGGAGCGGGGGACGGGCGAGGCTGGCGAGGTCTTCAGTCGACGCCGCCCTAGCTTCCACCTCTCCTCGTTGGGACAGAAGCCGTGGACGATGGCGGCATAGTGGAGTCAAGCGGCGGTGGAATGGTGGCAGCGCACCAGCGCGGCTCCGGATCGACCTTGGCGGCCGGCCTCGACATCAAGCTCATCTCACTCTCTGCCGTCTCCCTCTCCTCCCCCATGTCTTCCTCTCCCTCTCTGTCGCCTCTTTCCTGTCGCCGCACTAGCTTCTCCCTTCTCTGGTCCCCATCGCCGCCTTTCCCGTCGAGCTCGGACGACGGGACAAGGAAGCATGTGGACATTGAGCTTAGTGGCGGCAGCACTTCCCACCTCGAGCTCCCGGCGGAGTGGATCAAGGAGGGTCTTAGCGGCGAGCATGGATCGAGGCTTAGCGAGGTCCCCACGGCGGCTCAGGCCTACGCCACCGCCGAGCTTCGCCCCCCTCCTTGTCTCCAATCCGGTGGATCCAGCGGTGGCTTGCTCGTGCTGACAAGGGATGAAGCGCCGGCGGTCAAGGCAAGCTCTGTCGACGAGCTCCCTGGTGGCGGCACAGAGCGGGGGGCTGCCGCCGCCATTGAGCTCCTCAGTGGTGGTCGATGTGGCCCCCACCCATCGGATGCTTCTTCCCGTTCTCCTCCTCGCCGCCTCTCCTCTGGTCCTCTCTCTCCCTTCCCTGTGGCGTAGGGGCACGAAAGTGGTGGGTCCAAACCTGCAAATTCTGGCAAGGTACCTGTGGCAAGAATTGGTTCCGCGTTCGTCGTGGAGCGATGGAAAATGCGGACGTGGAGTAGAATCTCCGAGCTGGCCTCTTCAGGCTGAATGACCCATGAGCACATTGTGAATGGCCTAAGGGTGCGCTTGTTTCAGCTCATAGGATAGGCTGATTAGCCGCATGTAAAATGAGAAATGTGATTAACATATGATTAATTAAGTATTAATATATAAATTTTTGATGAACAAATTTGCTGGATTTTTTAAACAACTTCTTTATAGAGAGTTTTCACACTAAATACACCGTTTAGCAGTTTGAAAAACGTACTAACGGAAAATAAGGATAATCTAATCCTAGCTAAAACGAGCGCACCCTAAGAGCATCCGCAATGGTAAAGTAAGGTGCTATCTATAAAATATGTACATCTCAACAATAGACTAGATTAATAGTAAACCACCTCAATAGTATGTCTACATGGGTATCTATAGCTCTCTCATGCATTGTCTCGTTTTTCTCTATAGACTATCTCTAAATTAGTAGATAGATTTGCTCTCTCTCTTCATTTAATATCTTCCATGTAGGAAAATATGCTGACATGGATATCTTGTAGAGAGCCTATAGATAACCATTATGGGTGGCCTAAGGCATTGGGGGGAAGATCGTTCCATCTTCCAATTTCCAGCATCCTTTTTGAACAGTATTTTCTCGGTTTCCCCGCTTCTGCTTCTTTTTTTTTTAAAAAAATTATTTCTCTCTCTTTAATTTGTTCGTGCAAGTGCGACGCATAGCAGCCAACCTCGCCGAGGCGGAGACGACGGCGATATTGTCTCGTTCTCTCGCCTTCCCTCGTCGCCGGATTTCGTCTCGCAGGATTCGTCGCGCGCGTCCCCGTCGCCTGATTCCTTTCGCCGTCCTCCTCGCTTGATTCATCTCGCAGGCGGCCGGTTCGTCCAATGGCGAGGTATTTTGTCTATTTTATTAATCTGTTCATTTTGATTTGTTCAGGTTTGAATCCCCTCGTTGTGTACTGCGTTGTCTCAGTTTTACATTTTTCTTTTGTTGCAACTATCGTGGATCTGCGTGTGCACTGTATGTATACTAGCAAAGATTAATCTGTGTAGATTTCAATTTTTCATAGGCGTACCCTTTTTTTTTGTGATTTGATTTCTTATAAGGATTTGAATCCGCTGACTTGGTATGCTAGCATTGCAGGAACCGGATCTATAGAGTTCTCTTTTTTTACATGTTTATTTGTGGCGATTAATGGGGCATCCAGTGTCGTGGATCTGTATAGTGGCAATGATGAATCTGTGTAGTTTTCATAGGCATGGACCTTTTTTTCTCTTTGGTGATTTGATTTATTATACAGATTTTTTGAGGCATTCTGGACTTGTGGTATGCTATCATGGCAGGATCTTGAATCTATAGAGTATGGATCAGGCAACGATGCATATGCAGAGTATCATGTGCTTGGTTTTTGGACTCGAGATCTGATGTAGTTCATTTTATTTTTTCCCTATTTTTTTGTGCTGATCTAGAGTTTTGTGTAGTTATGCTTTTGACATCTGCACTATAAATCACCTATGTTGTAGTATGCATGTAGATCAATCAAGCTGATGGGTTTTGGTATCTGATGACCATGTAGTAAAAATTATGCTTTTTTTGTAAAAGCAGCATTCATTTCATATGTAATGCATTATTATCCTTTCAGCTTTTCTTTTTGTAGGAATAGATTTATGACTAATGTTAATAGGTGGTTAACTTTTTTTTGCAAGTCATGTTGGATTGTTTACTTATAGGGAGCCAACTGATGTAGTGTATATAACAGCCAACTGATGTACTTCTTCCCCCCAAAACATAAGAGAATGTGATGTTTGTTTATATACTCATAGTGGAACTGTGGTAATGTATATGAAGTTGAGACTAACTACTTACTGGCCACTCACAGTGCCCATTAGTTAAATTTACACATGTAACTTAGGGAGGGAATCCTACACATTAGGAATTCAGGTCACTGCTTTCTCTGAATCTAGTCGAGGATACACACTTCGTTGGTACCTATTACGATTTCACTGATCAATATTCTTTTTTGAATTTATATCGGGCAAACTGATCGATGTAGTAATACATATTTATCTGCACTGATTAGGGAGGGAATATCCTACATATTATTGAAGAAAATGGAGGAGATAACTGGTTCACATGGCGAGCTGCTGTTGTCGTTGGGTGGAAGCAGGTAGCGGGCACATGCTCTGGCAGTGATGGTGAAGTTGGTGTGCTTGGTGACGTAATTTGATTACCTTTTGAAGTGATGAGGATGGTAAGCTGTAAACTGCCCCGTTCTTGCTTCTTCTGGTTTCTTTTTCTCAATATTGATTGATCTTGTTCTACTTTTTGTTTACTGGAGTAGCTCAGTTTGGCTGCAAGGTTACGGTAGTGGACATGTACTGCAGTATTCTACAGGGGTGAAAATCTGCAAAAATCTAAGAGTTAGTAGGGTAGCAAAAACAATGGTATCAACGGGAAAAGAGAAGCTAACTTACCAGTTTGCATTTTGAGACATTGTAGTCAATCCTAGGCTAGCTAGAAACTGAATCTTCTGCATGTTCCTTTTCTCCGTTTCTTCCTAGCAGTCTTATTCACTCCCATGTCCCTCAACATCAACTGTTATAATAATAAACAGGACAAACGAAAATTGAACTGTTAAAATTTGTTATTAACGGGACAAACGAAAATTGAATTGTCGTGCTGTTGCAATTCCATTTTTGTCAGTACCTTTCCAATCTGTTAATGTTAATATGACCTCGATATTCATGGTTTCTATCTAGGAAAAATGAAAGAGGAGGTAAATTTATCATGAAGTGCTTATGTATCAAAAGTTTTGAAGTTATGTGACACATCGATATTTATGCATGAGAGTATGAACTCCTCATAATAATCTCATATAATATAAATACACCAGCTATCTCTAGAACAGTGACAATTCTTATTTCCAAAAATACACCAGCTATGTTGTGAGGACCTCTGTATACACAATATTTCTTGTATATGTCCCACTCTTAATGTTGTCAGAATGCTTCTTCGAATTGTTCTCATTCAAATTCTGCTCAGAATGTCTATTCCTTTTCTTTGGATTGTCGTCATGTACAACGAGGATCTTTATATTCTTTCTTGCGGTGGCTCTCGAAAGTGCGACATATAGCTGACCGTGAGAGAATACTGGTTCAGGTAAGTACACGCCGACATTTGGTATGCTCTGCCCTTGTGCCTTGTTTATCGTCATGGCAAAGCTGAGCCTGACCGGAAATTGTTTCCTTTTAAATCGGAACGGGAACATCTCATGATCAGAAGGGCATAGTGGGATTCAAGGCAAGAGAACTCGTGTCCTAGAATGTTGTCCTAGCACAATTTCTACATCAATGGCATTTTTCTGAAATCCTCGCACCACCAACCTTGTGCCATTACAAAGTCCATTAGCTGGGTCGATATTCCTGAGCAATATGATAGGACAATTAATTTTGAGCTTTAGCATGTGTGGAGGCAGTCCATATGGGGTAAGAGTGTTAAGGAATTTTGGGGGATAGTAGTTATGAGGATCATCTTCCGCACTATCAAAGCTGTGATACACCATCTCCTCCCCTTGAAAGCGGTCAATCATTTTCAGATTTATGTTGTCCACACAGTCGTTCCGTGTGGATAAAATAGCTCTTGATGTGATGTAATTTGGATCAGCTAGGCAATCATTGAGCGTTGGATAAACACTCTCCATCAATTTATCTAGGTCACTGTCATCCCCTGTGTATGGCACACATATATTGTCAGGAAGATGTATATCACCATTATCGTTGATCTCTTCAGTGCCATTACCGATCCGTAGTAGATATTCTACAAACCAAGGATCGTTTTGTGCCCTCATGTTGCGTACCAATTGCAAGTGACGCATGCAACCCCATAAGTTGGACCTCCGCAATGATGCATCTAATATCTGACCCCTTGACCCATGTCGTACAATGGGGAGAACTTGTCTAAAATCACCTCCAAACACAACTGTTTTCCCACCGAATGGAAGGTTTGGCTTGTCCATTATGTCTCGCATACTATTATCCAGTGCCTCCACCGCTTGCCTCTTAGTCATAGAGGCTTCGTCCCAAATGATCAACGATGCCATTTGTAGCAACTTGGCTGTTCCACTTTGTTTTGTGAAAGTACAAATAGCCCCATCATCTATCCTTAGTGGTATCTTGAATCGAGAGTGTGCAGTCCTTCCTCCGGGCATTATGGAAGCGGCAACACCAGAGGTAGCTGTCGCGATAGCAATCTTTCCTTGTTCACGAACTGTTGCGAGCAATGCCCTGTATAGAAAAGTTTTTCCTGTGCCTCCTGGGCCATCTATGAAGAATAGGCCTCCTTCGTTGTGATCAACTGTAGCTAGAATCTCATCGTAGGCGGCCCTTTGCTCGGTGTTGAGGGAGTTGCACAAAGCTGTGTCCTCAGGGTCCACCTTGATCATGGATTCCTCAATGATCTCCTTAGGGACACCATTTGTCGTGTCGTGTAGCATATCGACCCCAGGAAGAGGAAACGACCGTATATCTTTGCCCATGGACCGCAACATATCCTTGATATTTATTAAAACCATTTGTTGAACCACGTGTGGACACTGACAATTGCGACGATAGTCTTCGGACATAGCCTCGAGGTGATTGTTCCAGAGAACACGGACGTCGCTAGGCTCACAAAACACCAGAATTGTTGCAAAGAGTCTTCGTAGTGAAGATGGCATTTGTAATAACTCAGCTTCCGTCAAGCATTCTTCTAGTGTATTGTCTGCTTCGATTAAACCTCTTCTCTCTGCGGCTTCACGGAAGGATGGTAGTATTTTTCCATCCACTGTTCGTAGGTCTTCATAACAGGTGGCACCTGTCACATGGTTCAAGAGAACCCTGAGATAGTATCGTTCCCCTTCGGTTGGATGGGCTAGGACCATTCTTCCAACTTGAAGGATGGCAGATCTTTTCCTTTTTTGCCAAAATTTCTTCTTTTTGCCTGTCTGCCAAGTATGATGTTCTGGAAAATCTTGGTACAACATGCCATCTGCTTCTTTATTTAACCTATTTGCTTCAAAGTATGCTGTTAGCATTGTCTTTTCAGCACCATCTTGATTGAGCACCTCCTGGATGTCCTGTTTGCCTCGATACTTAACCATGTGCATATTTGGGAGATGAAGCTGTAGTTGCATCACAGATGGATGTACCTTGCTCAAATCGAATCCATATATTCTCCATAGTGCTTCCAGAGGTGTCACCCACCGTGCATCCCTATACTGCCTGATCTCATCAATGTCATCTTCTTTACCTACCCCATTTACAGGCACAGATTCTCTCTCATGCCCCTTGTAATTGTGTTTGAATAGGTACTTCACGGCCTTTATACTTGAGCATACCTCCACATTTATGTGGCAGTTGAACATCTGTAGGAGGTAAGGGTTATAAGGAACTACCCACCTATTGTCTAGTGGACATTTTTGGACTATCACTGTGCAGCCGTCGTCGCGTCTCCTATACACTGGGTAAGAGTCCTTTTCTTGAATGGTAGTAGCGTTGAAAGGCTTAGGATAACTGTTCTTGCATGATGAGCGATTCTTCATGCATGGGCAATAGTGATTCAACTCACCGCAAGGACCATGCATCATATGTTTGATGACCATTGTATATAACTCTGGGTACTTACTTTGGTTCGGAAGCTCTGCGGAGATTACTCTGTCGTATTGCTTTGAATGTGTGTACTTGTACTTTTTAGTCATGATCAACAAGAAGTGAGCATGCGGTAGACCCCTCTTTTGGAATTCTACAACATAGGTATAGGCCTGAACTATACCAAGAATTCCCTTTTCGAACAGTTGTTTCTTCATCTCCTCTAATTTTGCCTTAAAAACACGAACGATGAGATCTGGGCGATCTTGAGGCGTTTGTCCAAACTTGAGCTCATGAATGATCTCTTCCCAGTTGGGGTTGCAGGTCATTGTGAGGAAGATATCTGGCTTTCCATATTTTCGTACTAAAGTCATTGCATCCATGTATCGACGTAATTTATCTCGAGGCCCTCCAATAAATGACGAAGCAAGGACTGTTCGTTTGCCAATTGCACTCCCTTTGTTTTCTCCAGTATTAACGCTATCCAATAGGCTTTGGTACAAATCTGCCCTTATCTCCTTTTGATGATTCCATATATAGTCCAACCGTGAGCTCTCAATCTTATTGTATGTGTCAACTGCAAACTGCTGGAGAAGACGTCCGCCATGCAATATTGGGTTAAATATGCCAGGTCTCATTTGGAACTTGTAGCAGTAGTAGTCTCTGACGGAAACACACAGTCTACTACCTGAATCTGCATTATATTAGAAGTGAATGACATGTATGATAATAAATCATCATCTTGATGGGAAATATATGAAATGCTAACCTGGGTCCTCATCACTGTTGTTGCGATTCTGGCGAGCCTTCATTATATCTTCCACCTTAACACCAAACTTTGGTATATCGGCATGCCACCCTAATTCAGCTTTGGGAAAGAACAGAGGATATGACAACGGATCATAGCATCCATAGTATGACCGGATGCCTTGTATATCATTGTTATTCCCATGTAGGATTACACTCTTTTCAAATGTCTTTCGTCGTTCGTTTCCCTCGACCCACACCGCAGCCACCTCTGAACTTATTGGCACATTGTACGTCCTCTGATCCAACCTTTGGTCAAGGTTCAGCATCACACGGCAGTCTTCAAGATTCTCGATTTGCCCCAAACTCCTAAATTGCTCAGCGTATGGATTACCACGCAGAACGTTGGTTAGGATGTTGACTACTTCTTGATCTTGTTCATATAACTCCTGTCGGCAACGGCGGTACCGATGTTCTAGGCTTGGATCATCATCATAGAAGTATAACTCGAGATGCTTAGGGTCTGAACCATTCGTACCAAATGAACTTATATTATGGTACATTTGGCCATGAGCTCGAAACGTGTAGAAACCAGTTTTCCTCATGTCACTTGTTTCTCTGTCAAGATGACAGTAAAGAGAAGTGAATGAGAAATGCCCATTGAAAAACCTTATGTTGTTGCGAAAATGTTGGGCGTAGGAATCATTGCTCGTCCAGAGCCTCATGAGTTCAGGAGGTGTGTCTTGATGAGCTAGTCTGGTTTGTCCATTTCTGCAGCAGAAGCCCTTTGTCTCATGCTCAAACTTCTTTGCGTTGCAGAATTGACAATTTTCCACTGGTTTTAGCATATGAGTGCACTGTGGTATGTTGCTATACACGAGCTCACAGGGATCAGGGACGCTAGAGCACTCGGGTATGGCTTCTACAACCTCTTTGATTTCTACGTCCTTGTGTGTCTCCCAATCTGAAATGTTTTGGCGGTAGACATAAGTTTACGATTAACATGATAATAACAAATGGTGACAAGATTACCTTGACCATCAAACATGTCACTCTCCTCATTGGTGTCATCGTCAAATATGTCTTCATCACCTACATGGAAATCGCTAAGTGTATATATATGCTCTACCTGACCATATTCAAAGTAAACCTAAATATAGGTGAGCAGTACCATCATCATCGATGAATAATTTTGATGGATGCTCTACATTGTCGGCACCTTGATTTGTTAAACAAATATTTTCTGTTGAAAGAACATGGTTAGTACTATACCAAAATATATGTTTCTCAAAACATGAAACAGATGCATATAGCTAGCACACTCACCGGTATTTGTTATGCTTTGCTGCTTAGGAGGGTCTATGCTGTTGGCTGTTTGAGTGCATATCGAAGGATCTTCTCCTACTGACACAGAAGTCCTTGTGTCCCATCTAATTGTGAAGCTTTCATTTTGACGAGATACCAATGCTTGTCTTTCGTCATGTGCTATATGTTTCCTATGTAATCTAGTCGGAACTTGAGGTGACGTATCTAGCGCAATATACGTAGGACTCTCCATTGCAATGGAATACTTGCTTGGAGTGTTGCGTCGCAATGCACGGTTAGCAATGACCTGTTCTATCTTAGCTTTCTTTTGGTCTGGTCCCATATTTCTGTATTTCATCCTTGCAAGTGCCTTTTTTTCTTGTTTTGGAATTGAACCCTTATCCTGGCTTGCAATTTCTTGTTCTGCTTGCCCGGAATGTGTAGCATGCAATGGCTCCTCCACATTGGCAAGGGCATTTAAATCTTTGTTGCGCTTATAGGCTTCACGACGCTTTTTTAGTTTCTCCTCTTTCTCTTGGAGAGTCATTTGCGCATATCGCTCCCGATCTCTCTGTCTTCTTCGTATATTTGGATCCAAAAGTGGAGATGGCGATCCAAATGATGTGGTACCAGCATCAAGCATGGAAGATGGAGCTGTTGACAAACACATATATAGGCAATATAGAAAGTGTTATCAAGGTAATTGAAAGAATAGCTTGCAGAATATAATTGATTCTTTGTGGTTACTATCTTTTGTTTCCTTATTCCAGATTTACCTTGACCATCAAACATATCACTCTCATTGGTGTCATCGTCAAATATATCTTCATCACCTACATGGAAATCGTTATGTGTATATATATGCTCAACCTGACAATATTCAAAGTAAACCTAAATATCCGTGAGTAGTACCATTACCATCGATGAATACTTGTGATGGATGCTCTACATTGTCGGCACCTTGATTTGTTAAACACATATTTTCTGTTGAAAGAACATGATTAGTACTATACCAGAATATATGTTCCTCAAAACATGAAATAGATGTATATAGTTGGCACACTAACCGGTATTTGTTATGCTTGGCTCCTTAGGAGGGTCTATGCTGTTGGATGTTTGTGTGCATATCGAAGGATCTTCTCCTAGTGACACAGAAGTTCTCGTGTCCCATCTAATTGTGAAGCTTTCATTTTGACGATATACCAGTGCTTGTCTTTCTTCATGTGCTACATTTTTCCTATGTAATCTAGTCAGGACTTGAGGTGATGTATCTAGTGCAATATACGTAGGACTCTCCATTTCAATGGAATATTTGCTTGGAGTGTTGCGTCGTAATGCACGATTAGCATTGACCTGTTCTCTCTTAGCTTTCTTTTGGTCTGGTCCCATATTTCTGTATTTCATCCTTGTAGGGGCGTTTTTTTCTTGGTTTGGAATTGAATCCTTGTCCTGGCTTGCAATTTCTTGTTCTGCTTGCCCGGAATGTGTAGCATGCAATGGCTCCTCCACATTGGCAAGGGCATTTAAATCTTTTTTGCGCTTATAGGCTTGACGGCGCTTTTTTAATTTCTCCTCTTTCTCTTGGGGAGTCATTTGCGCATATCGCTCCCGATCTCTCTGTCTTTTTCGTATATTGGGATCCAAGTGTGAAGATGGCGATCCAGATGGTGTGGTAGCATCAAGCATGGAAGATGGAGCTGTTGATAAACACATATATAGGCAATATAGAAAGTGTTATTCAAGGTAATTGTAAGAACAGCTTGAAGAATATAATTGATTCTTTGCGGTTACTATCTTTTGTTTCCTTATGCCAGATTTACTCAAATATAGCTGTTATGGCAGGTAATCGGAATTTCTCCTTTGCTTTACCTTTCTATACAGGAGTACAGGTAGACAATTGCATAAGCACTTGGCAAGCGAAAGGATCAACTACGATATTATACCAAGTCATGAACAGTGCATCGGTAAGTTATTGTGTTGCCATGTTATTTGATATCAAGGCCAGCAACGATTAATTTTTTATCCTACAAGATTTGTGGCCTTCTTTATCACTCAATGTATGTATGAAATTTAAACGATATACATGTGTACCTGAAATCTAAACTTTCTTCTACTGCAGAGGCTACCTGATGACATTCTTACGATATACATGTGTGTGCCTGAAATTTAAACTTTCTTCTACTTCAGAGGCTACATGATGACATTCTTGCTGGTTGCTGCTGCTAGCTGCTGTGCTACCTGGTGTATTCTTTTCTTGCAATTTTGCTCCTAGCTTCTATGCCAAGCTAATATGTGGTGTGGTGTGGTGTGGTGTATATATGTAACTAGCTAGCCTATAATCCTACTCGGTACGCTTACGCTCGGAGAGAAAATCGGAGATGTTGCGATGGCACAACCGTGATGTAAGCGGTGGACGGACGGACGGACGGACGAACGGAAATGGCTGTTGAAGCATATTTCAGTTGCATATTTGTTTTTCCTACTACAGTTGACTAATGCAGATGATGTGAACTACAGTAATCTGTATGTGACCAGCATGTTCATATTACAGATCATGTTGACATAGAGGAAGCATATTATGTGCTAACAATTTCTGAAGAAAAATATCTATCTATCTATCTATCTATCTATCTATCTATCTATCTATCTATCTATTATATACTAAAAGTCCATTAAACTTCCTACAAACGCCCTCATGCCGCCACATGGTGCTCTAAAAATGCTCTCAAGCTGCCACATGGCGTAATAATAAAATAGAAAAAACTTAGAAATTCTGAGAAAAAAGAAAAAAAATCTAGCCCTCGATTTTCATTTAAGTTGATGGACCCATTAGTTTACACCATTGGATTAGATGTAATCTACCCCTTCTAATTTACCGAGCAATACTTTCCATAAAAAAATTGACTAAAAAAGCTGAGAAGGCATACGTACATATGGATTAACAACCACGGCCGAGAAAAGAAGAAATGATATACAGCAAAAAAAAAAAAAAAAACTGTATACGTACGTACTACTGGAAATTAAAAAAAACATCACTTCTTTTAAACGTGGATTTGCACTTCTCTATATTTTTTTATGACGGACAACGTTAAATATTTAGTGAAACTACCGAAAGAAAAGAACGCTCTTTGTACTTCCTTTGTATTTTTTTATTGTTTTTTATATATTGATGACCAACGTCATATATTTAGTGAAGGTGTTAGTATAAGAAAAATATATTACTTTAAAAACTTGCACAGCCAAAAGTAGATCTATAATATAATATCAAATATCAAATAAACGTACCTTGATCGTTCAAGATGAAATAATGAGTAATAAATTACTCAGGACATATTGTCAAAAACAGAAATAAATAATGTATTGTCTAAAAATTATGCCTTATTTAAACTACTGATCTGCGCGTGTTGAAATAAATAATGTATTGTCTAAAAATTATGCCTCATTTAAACTACTGATCTGCGCGTGTTGTACAAATACATTCTATACATTTTTTTAAAAAAAAACTATTTTCATGTTTGTAATATTTAATACTTAATTAAAAAGCGTTAATGGCCTATATTGTTTTGTGTGCCCTACATAAGCTCAACCAATGAGATCGAATGTAGCCTAAGTAGGAGATAAATTAGATTATTTACTATAAAATTTAAAACTAAAGAACCAAGTTAACTATATTATTAAAAAAATATTACTTTGGATCAGATATTTATTCTACGGACTAGCTATTGTTCACTAATCCATACATTTTTAAGAAAAAAATAAATAGATTTTGGCGTTCCTTCCCTGTCTCTTAGCTATAAAATTAAAACAGAAACAATCAATAATATTGGAAATCTCTTAGAAACACAACGTCTACGCACCCTACCCCTTTAGTATCTCCAAAAGACTGAGCCGACACATTTTAAGATTGAAGAAGTTACCACGTCGTCTCGCTGTCGATGGATACGTCACCTACCACTGAAAGAATAATTAGTCGTAAATGCCAACACCCATATCAAATCTAGGACTTGAACCCGGGTGGGCAAGTTTCACCACAAGAAACCTAACCAGTTGAGGTGCGCTCACTTCGCAATAACATTGAATATTAAGACAACCATAATTTTTAAGCTACATTCTGCAATACTCATGTGCCTTTTAAACCGGTAAACTATTAGTTATAATCGTTAAATCTATCTTACATAAAAAGAAGAATGTATTCATGGTACATGATATTTTCAAAATATTACTGCGCAATTATATTCCGTCTTTATCGTATTCATGTTAGGCTGCATGGAGCCTCTCACCCACCCTACATGAAATGTTCATATATGAATTGCCTCTCAAACTACATCAACCATATTAGACTATATAAACCCAAAAATTTAGTGGGGCTTCATCTTCCACCTAATTAATCCTTTAATGAACTATGGTCCATAGATATGTAATTTCAAAAACACCATATTTTTACTTTCGTTAACATGTTTTCTTAAAAAAAATAAGTCTACCTTAATTTCAAATGATAAAGAAGATTATAAATAATTTCTTATAGATATTATTTAAATATGATACAATATAAAATTAATAGGTTATAAAATTATAAAAGCAATTAATGCCGATGAAAACAATTTATGGAGAAATTGTGCTAGATGTTCTCCGTTTAATATTTTGCTGTTATAAATATCTCAAACTTAGCGTACAACACATGCCCGCGCGAATGCGCGGGCTACCTAGTTCATGGTAAAGAGGAACCAAAACAGATGTGGACATGCTACATTTCTACTTTTTGACAGGTATATATACGTAAGTTTCTTGCCTGGTAAAGAAGACCGATTTCCTCTGCTATCTCCCAGCTCCATGCTACGCACGTACGATCTGCTTGTGTGCTGATATATCTTTGGTTTTTGAGCTCTCTCAGAAATTTCCATGGAGTTTTTCTTCCCCTGAGCTGATCTCCATGGGGGACGAGAACGAGCTCGATCTGTGTGTTTTTTCACGCGTATTGGTTTGATCTTTATAAGCTTTTCCTGTGGATTCTTTCACACTCTGCTTCGGCACCGCGGTTGCATGCGTATCACCGTTTTGTGCAGCTGGATGCCGGTAGGAACGACACGTATCGAGTGTGGCACCACAAGGACTTGACAAACAGTGGGGGATCGTGTACACGAAACAGGCCAAATCAAAGATGATAGGTTTGTCCACCACTCCACCGGGACTTGTGTTTGAGCTCGTGGAAAGGCTAGAGAAACTTAAATACGTGATGATGACGTCCTTTGCAAAAGGGCCTGCACAAGTTTAGCCCCCGTTTAGTTCCCAAAACAAACACTTTTCACCCATCACATCGAATGTTTAGACACATGCATGGAGTATTAAATATGAAAAAAAAATTAATTTACACAGTTTGTGTGTAAATTGCGAGACGAATCTTTTAAGCCTAATTACGCTATGATTTGAAAATGTGGTGCTACAGTAAATATTTGTTAATAATGGATTAATTAGGCTTAATAAATTCGTCTCGTCGTTTCCTGGCGGAATATGTAATTTGTTTTCTTATTAGACAACGTTTAATACTTCAAATGCGTGTCTGTATATCTATTGTGACACCCTAAAACAAAAATTTTTGCCATGTAAACATGGCCTTATTAGTAGCATGTACTCCCTCCGTACTTATAAAGGAAGTCATTTTGAACAGCAACACGATCTCCAAAACACAACTTTGATTTCTTGTTTCTATAAAAATATTTATTGAAAAGTAATATATGTATACTTTTATGAAAGTATTTTTCAAGATAAATTTATTCATATAATTTTTATATTTTAAAACTCAACAACTTGAGAGTTATTTATGATTTATATTCTCAAGGTTTGACTTAATTATTATCCTAAGTCGCTCTAACCTTAGTAAACACCACTACCAGAGAATCGGTCTTTGTAATCGGTTCGCTTACCCTGATGTATGTGTGAAAATTGGTAATTTTTTTCAAATGGTGATATGAACGCATGTGAAAATTAATTTTTGTGTGCGGTCAAGTTAAAGTTCTAAAAATTGCGGTCAATTTTAGGTTAGTTCACCACGTTATATAAAAAGAAATGAGTGTAATAATTAAGTCATTAGTGGTAGCAAATTGTAGGTGCAGGAGAGAGACTGTGAAAAGCTTCCCTCAAAAAGAAAAAAAAAAGAGGGACTGAAAAGCAGCCACTGAAAATCTAAATAAACCTACTCCCTTTGTACTAAAATATAGAGTAATAACTTTATATTAAATAGAACGTATCCTATGTCTAAATTTGTTGTACTAGAATATATCCCGTCCAATATATAAGGTTATCGATCGAGCACTATGTACTGTACGTGTTACATGCACACGTGGCACAAGGGATGCTGTGTAGCACACCAAGGCACGCGCAGCGCAGATCGAGGGCTCAAACTTTGATACGGGGGTTTTCATGCGCATGGCGAGTGCGGTTGGGATACGTACATATGTAACCTTGTCGTACGTGCATCGGGAACTTGTGTTTTAGCTGGACACACAGATGGCGTACGTGTTCTGCATGCACATGTTCGTTTTTGGCAGGAACTCACCCTGCCCAAAAATCAATATTAAATCGTGTGGGATAGCTTTGGTCACGCCGCTGACTCGATAGCGTAGCATTAGAGCCGGTACAATAGTAATTAGCCAGCTGTAAACATATTTTAATGAGATAAAAGATAAGAGAGAAAAGCAGCGGGCTATAGTTATGTAGTCAGCTGCAGCACGGACTTCAAGATATAATATATGTATGATAGGTTGGACCATGTATTAAGGGCACCCACAATGCTTATCTATAGGCTCTCTATAAGAGATCCATGTCAGCATATTTTCCTACTTGGAAGAGATTAAATGAAGAGAGAGAGCAAAGCTATCTACTAACCTAGAGATAGTCTATAGAGAAAAACGAGGCAATAGATTAAAGAGCTATAGATACCCATGTAGACATATCATTGAAGTGGTTTACTATTAATCTAGTCTATTGCTGAGATATACATGTTTTATAGATAGCATCTTACTTTAGTATTGCGGGTGCTCTAATATGTGCAATCCTGACGCCAACGAGGTAAGCTGCCATCGACCAACAAAGAGGAACACCGCCGAGAGGGCCCGCGTGAAGAAGCCGCACGTGGCACCGAATTGAGACGGTCCCGCGCGGTGAATCCGCGGGACGCCACGCCATCCCGCGAAACCAAGCCACGGGACAGCCGTGCATGTAGCCGCTGTTCGATCACAAGCATCTATATGCATATACTCGCTCCGTTTAGTTTTATTTGACACCGTTGACTTTTTAAGTACATGTTTGACCGCTCGTCTTACTCAAAAACTTTTATTAAATATGTAAACTATATGTATACATAAAAGTATATTTAACAATGAATCAAATGATAGGAAAATAATTAATAATTATTTAAATTTTAAATAAGACGAGCGGTCAAACATGTGCTAAAAAGTCAACGGTGTCAAATAAAACGAAACGGAGGGAGTATAGCACAACGTGTGATCAATCCAGTGGGACTGCACTGGTCCCGCGCGATTGCTCTGTGGCAATGCCCCTTCCGTCGGTCTCGCGCCCTCTAGCTACGCCGGCGGCGCGGTGCCGCGTGTTCGTAGACCGCCGAAAACGTATATCTCTGTAAAATTTTCAAACGCGTATACATATATGCAAAATCGAGGAAAATAATGTGTATGGACGAAGGAAACAGAGAAGCCTCGTCCCTTCAAGTATAGATGGCCAAAGGGCCCGCCCGGCACGGCCCGGCCCAAGCACGGCTGGGCACGGCCCAGCAGCTTCGTGCCGGGCCGTGCCGGCCCATGGGCTACATCTCCCGCCCAGGCATGGCACACCAGCTGTCGGGCCGTGCCGTGCCGGCCCAAAGTCATGGGTGGCCCATTGGAACTTTTTTAAAATAAGTCTATTTTTCGTCCCTCCTCTTTGGGCTATTTCATATGTACAGCTAAAATAAGTCTATTTTCCGTCTCTCCTCTTTGGGCTGACATATGTATAGCTAAAATAAGTCTATTTTTCATCCCTCCTCTTTGGCTGACCTATGTATAGATAAAAAAAGTCTATTTTAGATCCCTATTCTTTCGTCCATGGCATATAATATGTCTCTTTTTACTCCCATATTTTTTTTATCGGGCCTAGCTACCGGCCGGTCGTGCCGGGCCGGCCCAACGTGCCGGTGGAGGGGCCCAGGCACGGCCCGGTGGTTGGGCCGGGCCGGCACGGGCCCGACCTCTGTCGGGCCGTGCCGTGCTTAGGCCAGACCAAAATGCCGTGCCATGGGCCGGGCCGTCGGGCCTCGGGCCTTTTGGCCATCTATACCTTCAAGTCACTCTGCTTCTTCATCGCGCAGACCTCGCATATACTACTAGTTACGCCACAGCCCACCATGCAAAAATATCAATGAAAAACTGTCATGAACCCACCGTGAACGTGAAGCACCTTTTCCAGCTGTCTGTAACCATTGCAAATTGACGTAGGAGTACAAACATATGTTCCAGTTGCAGCCTTGCAGAGGGTGAATTTATGCACGGATTATAATTCCATCCACTGTCTCGCTGTTTTCTGCAGCCATAGGTTAGGATAGGAAGGTCGACGATGTGTAGGGTGCAAACCATGATCATCATTCGATCGACGACATATATAATCCACTACTAGACACTAGTGGGTTTCCCATGGACCAGAAAAGGCAGAATAGAACACAAAGTGGATCATCGTCTTTAATTGAAACCAAGCATGCTAACACGCACGAACCGGCCTGAAATGGGGGCCATCGAAGAAACTGACCATTACCAAACCTACGGTTTATAAAATTGCCCCTTGATCATGGAGAGGCAGAGGAGGGAGTGAAGGAAATTAAAGAGCATGGACAGGAACAGCATGGCGCTCGCATGCCTCCTCGCCGCCGCGCTCTCGCTCGCCGGCTCGGCCGCCGGAGACATGAGGGCGGCGGTGACGACCACCGCGGGCGGCAAGGTGGTGGTCCGCCACGGGGTCGACGCGGCGGCGGAGGCGCGGCAGCTGACGGTGGTGGCGATGAAGAAGTCGACGAGGCTGGAGGACGTCGTCGCGCCGGAGCTGATCGGGGCGGACCTGGTGGAGCTGCACCAGCGCCGGCGCCGCATCCTCGGCGAAGACGCAAACATCGTCGACAGCGTGCTCGTCGGCGACAGGCAGGGATGCCTCGGGCCGTGCCCGCCGCGCGGATTCCCGTTCAACACGCCCTCGCGGGGCTGCAACCCGAAGTACGGATGCAACACCGGTCACAACCCGCCCGACCGGCAAAAGTAGCTCATCTTGCGTGTCGGCGTATGGATGTCATCAGTGAGTCCTAGCTGTCAATTAAGGAGGTATCAAACGGTGGGTAACAATACCTTTAAGTTCATATCAGTGATGGATGTCATAAGAGCAACCACAATATAGAAATAGAGGGGGTGTTAAGCCTCCTCGGTAGTCTATATACATTGTGGGAGTGATATTTCTAGAGATCTTTTGGTTGAGCTACCAATATAGCTAATGACTGATCGTAATAAGGAATAAAAAAATAACTGTTCATCTCTTGTCTCTAGCACACTCTTCTCTCTCCGTTGCTTGCCGCAATGGGAAAGAGGAGGTGGGCGCACCTGTGAATCGTTACGCACGGGCCGCTGCCGCCGCATGGACTGTCGCTGATGCACCGCCACCTCCAGCAGGCCTCTGTCGTCGATACGTTATTGCGGGATGCGCCGCCACCTCCCGCGGGTCGCCGCCACCTCCTGCAGGCCTCCAACGACCTGGACACCGCCGCCGCCGTCGACCAAGAAGAAGCGCGCCGGGTGGAAGGATATGTGGGTGGCCGGTGACGCCCTCCCCTCTACCGGTAGGCGGCATCGCCATATATTTTTTTTCATTCTTTTTTAAGAATCTGCGATGTATTTTATCTATGATGTTATTATCTGTGATGTATTTTTTTTAGAGTTTGTGATGTATTTATGATTTTTTTTAGAATTTGTGAAGTTATTACTTTGATTTGTGGATGTAGAGAGCAATAATCAATATGCAAGCAGCAAAAAATAATAAAAAAGAAAAAAATCACTATGGTAGCGCCAGCCACGTGGCGCTATTATCTTTAGTCTTGGTTGATTTAGTTTTGGTTGATGTTACGAACCGGAACTAAAGATGCTCATCTTTAGTCCCGGATTCGGGGTCCTGTTTTGCAATACAGGACTAAAGGAGTTGCAAACCGGGAGTAAAGATGGATTCTCCATCAGTGTTTCTATTACTGTGAACTGAGATGGTAGTAGAAATAATTCTAAACCCCTCGCTAAAATTAGATTAACGGTCTAAACCACTTCAAGATTCATGTTTTACGACCTCTGCTAACTCTGGGCCTACCGGGATACATAGGGCTTCAACTATGATATTTTTGTCCCATGAAGCTGAAGCTATATACCATGTATTTCCGAAATCCTCGACAATATAGAGTGAAGTTGTCTCCCAGTCTCTAAAAATTACACGATGAGGGGTGAACGGCATTCCCGCCACTGCTCTACTCCACGCTCGAAAAGTCGTAGGAGCTGTATCAAATGGTAATATTGAACAATCCATGACACAATGATCGAACAAGTGCTTCAACACTGTAGCCCAAGTCCAAGACCTGATCCAGCCGATTACAGTGAGAGCCATTCCTGAAAATCGAAATGCAGGCGCAGTGGTTAGTAGTGGCTACCATGGACCAGAATGGCTAGGTTGGATAATGGATTATGGGTGTGTTTGCAAGAACAACTTTTCAACACTTCCCTCTCGTTTTTTCCGTGTGCACGCTTTTCAAAATGTTAAATGGTGTATTTTTTTTAAAAAGTTTCTATACAAAAGTTGTTAAAAAAATTCATATTGATCTATTTTGAAAAAAAAAATTAACTAATACTTAATTAATCACGAGTTAAAGGACCGCTCCGCTTGCAGTACATATCTATCTATCTATCTATCTATTATCTATCTATTATTATTATTATTATATACTAAAAGTCCATTAAACTTTCTACAAACGCTCCTAAGCCGCCACTTGGCGCTCTAATAAATTAGAGAAATCAAAGAAATTCCGAGAAAAAAGCAAAACATCCGACCCTTTATTTTTATTTAATACGGTGGACCCATTATTCTTTACCATTAGATCTATATTTAAACAAAATCAAAATATCTATCCATAAATCCCTCCCCACCACCTACTGTGCCTCCTCTCCCTATGACGTACGTACGTACGTACATCCGTCTGTCCGTCCATCCCCTCCTCCATCTACTATACTCTAATTAACAATCTTTCCATCTTTTAATCAAACATTATAAACGATAGATTATAATCTATCTATTAATATCCTAAAAATCTATTAATCTTCCTACCAACGCTCCCAAACCATCACGTGATACTCTACAAACACACCTACGTCACCACATGATGCTCTAATGAATTAGAGAAAATCGTAGATATTCAACGCTCCAAAGCCGTCACGTGATACTCGATGAACCCTCCTACGCCACCACATGATGCTCTAATAAATTAGAGAAAATAGTAGATATTCGGAGAAAAAAATAATATGTCATCTTTATTTTTACTTAAATTGATGGATCCTATTTTAGTCCATTAGATTAGATCTTACTTTTAGAAAAATTAAAATATAATCTTTCCATCCTAATCACTGTCCACGTACAAGAGAAAATGCGTACGCTCATAAAGTTCACCTAGAAAAATGTACGTGAGAAAATACTTATGTACATAAAGTTAACCACATACATGCAGTTCACCGGGAAAAACGATACAGCCCAAAGCGAAAAAACCCAAAACAAATATACTTATAGTATGATGGAGAAATATACATTACAAACTACATACGTAGTGGAAAGCTTTAAAACTACCGTTGCATCCGAAAATGAACGCATGAGATTTGTCCAAGTCTCTACATATTTTCCTTAGTATGATTGGAAAAGAAAATTCAAAAGTCTTTGAATTGGGATATTCCATGTTAAAGGAAGCTAACATATATTAATTACTTCCTCTTTATTTTCTTATAACCTTTGACCATTCATCCTATTAAAAAATTCTATAAATATGTAAAATTATAAATTGAGATTATAGATTTTTGATGATAAAACAAGTCATGATAAAACAAATATCATTTATATATTTTTTAATACAAATGGTCAAATGTCATATCAAAATTCAAAAGTGTCATACATTCAAAATCATTATGAGTACTTCACAAACATTAAATTGGTAAACACACTATTTTAGGCTATTAAATATCCCTATCCTAATATCCCATCTACGTATGTAGAATTCGACAACAAAAAGCTAAAAAAAATACATTCCAAGCAGAAAACGATGCATACACACATAGTATTATTTAGAAAAGTAAGCGGTCTTTAGAACTAGGATTTTCTATGATTTAAAGGTAATATTAGTCCATAATCAAACACAGTTGAACTATATCAAAGATTAATTATACTGAGTTAAACTACATCAAAGATAAAATATCAAATTAATGGCCTTTAAATGCCCTTACTTGAAATTATATATCACCAAATTTTTATCATTAAATGAACTATGAACATATTATAATGGTTATTTGTAGGGCTAAATACATCACAACATATGGTGTCGACATGTAATAATTATACTCATAATAACTTTTAAATAATTTTACATCATATTTTATGGTGCAAAATATCACCTAATAAATATACAACACTAATTTGAATATACGTATGTAAAATAAAAATAGCAGAATTTAATCATCTTTTTTATAAGTATATCTAATTTAATTTTGGATGCTTTTTTATTTTTCAAAACTATTTGACTGGTGTAGATATGAAGTCAAAAGCATACATGGTCAAAAAACCAGAAGTATACATTGTATGTAGATATGAAAAATAATATAAAAAATATTTCCAGCCAATATAATACAACCCCTTAATACATCACGATAATTATGGTCATATATGTAAATTTGTTTTCTTTGCCAAGATAGTATTGGCAACAAATGAAAATTCTAGAAACATTGACATTAGAGGACTCATGATATATTATATATTTTCTAATAGTTGAGAAATTTTGATGTGACTGTAAGTGTACTCCAATAATGAATAAGCTATAGTAAATAAGTTTCGGAAAATAAACAAAATTTTGAAATTAGTAAATTTGTCTAGAACAACAAGTGATAAAGGTAAACCAGGGGTTAATCTTGGAGATTATTAGTGTGGTATCTCTCTTTAGATATATTTATCAGTAATATCCATTGATCAACCTCACTCATTTCTAAAAAGGATATTGTATCTATAGTATTAAAATTTGAGTAATATTAATTAACACAATAAACAAACCATGTCTACTCTATACCATAAAACAACTCATAACATAAAAACAAATTATTTTCATCGCCTTCGTCTTCTCTTTGTACTTTTCTGAAGGGCACCGTGCATGATAGTAGAGCATGCTACACAATCATAAGTAAAGCAGGGGCATACATATGGCGGGCTGAGATAGTCCCAATGAGAGGATACCTTTAGCAATAGAGCACAACTTCCTATTTCAGGAGGCAATTCTCTATGAGGGCACCTATAATTAATTAGGCATTAAAATTATGCTCCATGCTGGTCTAGAAAGGCACGGTTATGAGAAACACATATTTCAAGGCAACAAGGAAGAAAGCCTCGGCGCCCACGGTCGGCTTCACCCAATACATGAATATGCTTATCTGATTTAACGTTGTTATCCTATTAATTGATAGAAAATGTATTTTTAGAATATTTAGACATAGATTTGGAAATAAGCTAGACATGGATACTCATCTAAATAACAGGGATGATTTTTGTAGTTAACTAATAATGTATTAATCTTATTGTAATGGTATGATGTAGTTTGATCTATTAAATAGATTCTAAGCTTTCAAAAACAATAATAATGATAATAAGTATCCACTAAAATAATATAATCATCATAAGAAGAGGTGACAAAAGAAAAGTGATTTTTATTTTAAATTTAGGAGATACTCTTATCATTTAGTATTTTTGAGATGGTATAAATGTTTTTTTATTATAAGATAATATATAGTATTCTACAATGGATATGGTAAGTTGACTTATTTTATTATTCTTTTCATAAATAAATAAATAAGATGCCAACCTTCGTCCTAGATAAAAAGAAAGATTATAAATGATTTCTTGTAGGCATGAATTAAATAGCTACAAATAGTTTGGAAAAAATTACTGAGCTATGCTAATAAAGAAAAGTTGTGAAGAAATAGTGCTTTTGAAGCATGGCAGGTGTCATCTGGTTTATATATTTCAGTTATATAGGTTTCCGAAACACAAAATGTTATACATGCCCGCGCATCACGCAGGCTACCTTCCTAGTTCAATTAAAACCACTATGCATGTTGTCTCCAAACAGCATCCGCCTGCGTGCTCGTCCTCGTCGGTGTCGCGCTGGCCCCGTTGCCGGCGACATGACCGCTCACTACAGCATCAACTCGGCGACGCATGAAGATGTGGATCAACGATTGCACTAGCCCGTGCTCGCCAGCGTCCTCCTCAAATATACTGGACACCGAAGATATTCTAGCAGAGAAAGATGGAGATGGATGTTCATCCTCAAGGGGATACCTTCTCTTTTCTTGCATGTAACTTGAATAGTCCGTTTCTTGATTTCGATTTTCTACCGTGAGGAATTTGACTGAAATGACTGAAAACAGCAGAAATTTCTCCTTCACCAAGAATTGTGCCTGAACTAGTGAACCCGGCCCGCGCGCCATGAATCACCCACCCTCTAACTGTCGGTGACCATTCGCGTACAACTTATTTTCCGTTCGGACAGGTACAACCATAAAGCAACCCAAGGGTGAAAACAAAACACCCATTTTAATCTGGTTGAATCCATTCAATCCAATAACCCATGCAGGTATATAGAGTATGCCTAGCTCGGCGCTGTTCAGAGCATGCAGGCCCGACCATGATCTCATTTGATCAATGATAAATTTCATTAGTGGTTTTTCATGGAACAAAACTAGCTAGCGCGGAAACTAGTGCCGTAGTGCTCAGTATCTTTAAAAACTTAACCAAGAGCATGCTAACACGCACAATTCGAGATATGGGGCCGTGGAAATCGAACAATACCAAACCTAGCTCCATGCAGTTTATAAGTTGCTGCTTAATTGATCCTAGTGGCATTCGTCCCGGCGTCGCAACACTGCCAAAACACACGCACCAATTAAGATAGTGGCAGAGAGAGAAGCATGGGCCGGGGCAGCAATGCGGTCGTCACCCTCCTCCTCCTCGGCGTCGCGCTCCTCTCGCTCGCCGCCACCCCGGCCGCCGGCGACGGCAAGGTGGGTCACCACCACGGCATCGACGAGGCGGTGCGGCAGCTGATGGTGGCGACGAGGCTGGAGGACGTCGTGGCGGCGGAGCTCGGGATGGACGACCTGCACCAGCGCGTACTCGGTGGCGGCGGCTCAAATTCGGATGGTCTTGTACCAAACAAGGCGGCATGCCCGGCCCCGTCGTGCCCGGCGCCCGGGCAGCCGTACACCGGCCGGGGCTGCATATTCGCACGCGGATGCCAAGGCAACGCGCCGCCCTCTCTCTAACCGGTGAAAAGTAGCCAGCCCCTGCTGCACGTCGGTGCATATATTGGTCTCAATAAAAACCAGTTAATCACTGCTTTATCAGTTTCACTGTACCCAGTTATTCCAGTACGTGCACGCGGCAATAACTAATACTACTTCCTCCGTTCCAGGTTGCAAGACGTTTCAAATTTGACTAAATTTATAGATAAATATGCGAAAGGGCCTGTAGCCTAGTGGTTACAAAAGCCTCAGTAGCACCTGAGGTCCTAGGTTCGACTCCCCATGGGAGCGAATTTTCCAAGATTTAACGGCGTTGTGCTTTCAGTGGTAGGCGACGTACCCGTCAACAGCGAGGCGCCTGTGGTGATTTCGTCAATCTCTCCAGGATTTGCCGGCCCAGTCTTCGAAGATGCTTACAGGGGTAGGGTTTGTGTGCGTGCGTTCATAGCGGTGAGTGCGCGTGCATTGTGAGTGTCTGCGTTGTACTGTGTAACCGTCAACAGCGAGGCGCCTGTGGTGATTTCGTCAATTTCTCCAGGATTTGCCGGCCCAGTCTTCGAAGATGCTTACAGGGGTAGGGTTTGTGTGCGTGCGTTCATAGCGGTGAGTGCGCGTGCATTGTGAGTGTCTGCGTTGTACTGTGTAATTCTAAAAAAAAATTATAGATAAATATAGTAATATTTATAATACTAAATTAGTGTCTTCAAATCAATAATTAAATTTATTTTTATAATAAATTTGTCTTTGATTGAAAAAATTAAATCCGGCCCAGTCTTCGAAGATGCTTACAGGGGTAGGGTTTGTGTGCGTGCGTTCATAGCGGTGAGTGCGCGTGCATTGTGAGTGTCTGCGTTGTACTGTGTAACCGTCAACAGCGAGGCGCCTGTGGTGATTTCGTCAATTTCTCCAGGATTTGCCGGCCCAGTCTTCGAAGATGCTTACAGGGGTAGGGTTTGTGTGCGTGCGTTCATAGCGGTGAGTGCGCGTGCATTGTGAGTGTCTGCGTTGTACTGTGTAATTCTAAAAAAAAATTATAGATAAATATAGTAATATTTATAATACTAAATTAGTGTCTTCAAATCAATAATTAAATTTATTTTTATAATAAATTTGTCTTTGATTGAAAAAATTACTACTTTTTTCTGTAAACTTGATCAAACTTAAATCAGTTTGACTTTAACCAAAGTTAAATTGTCTTGTAATCTGGAACGGATGGAGTACAATGCACGTGCTGGCTTGCTGCTGATGCTGTTAAGTTGCCAGATTTGCCAACTGGCTGCGCTACAATTCTTGGTACTTGCCATCAATATTTCCCTCCCGACGACGTTAACTTTTTCAACTTATATACGTATGTGGAAGATGAATGATCAAACGTATTTAAAAAAAAACATGACGTATGGCGTTAGAATTAAAACAATATATAACAATAACATAAGAGGAAGACTACCGAACGGTGTACCGTTACAAAAGAATAGTTAATGCGTGCTAACGTCAGCACGATATCGAGGGTATCAAGATAGGTACCATATCTCATAACTCGTAGGTACCAAATCTAGTATCTAGTTACGATGTTGACATTAGTATGGTACCGTATGTATCAGACATGATATCCCTAGGTACCTATATATCATGCTGATGCCATCATAACTTCGTCTATTCAGTTGCAACGGTATACTATTCTGTATTATTTATGATAATCTAATGCTTGTCTGGGTCTTGTTATGTTTAGGCTTTCGTGTAATGCCTCTTGCTATTGTTGGCATGCGGATTTAATGTCTTCGTCCCCTCCTTAGGACCTGTATATCCATACCCGTTAGTCTCTCTTTTTTTTTTCAGGGATTCAAAGAGATGATATATTTAATTTTTAATTTGAACGAACTAGAAACAACATATATATTTGGCTTACAAAATACTATAAAAAAATAAAAATATATTTATTTATTGTATATATTATAATAAAAATATAGTTAATAATATATTTTGTATAAATTGTTATTGTCCAACATATTAAGAATTATGAAATGGAGGGAGTATAAGATATGATAATTTACTTTCAAGCCAATGAGAGCAGAGCAAGCGCGTATGCTTTTTTTAAAAAAAATTTCCAAGCTCCTATGCTCACTCAGGCTGTGTTCGTTTGGGTGTGTTGGGAATAAATCTCCTGTGCATAGAAAATGGAGTGATTAATTAAGTATTTATTAATTTTGTTGAAAAATGGATCAATATGATTTTTTAAAGCAACTTTCGTATCGAAAAGTTTTAAAAAAAACGCACCATTCAGCGATTTGAAAAACGTGCGCGCGGCCGAAAATGAGGGAGGTGAGTTGAGAAAGTTGGGGATAGAACTCAGCCTTCTCTCTTGAGATTGGCAATGATCCCAAATTCCCAATCCCTTCAACCTAACGCAAGGCCGTTTGGCGGAGAGGAGGAACATGCAGCACAAATCTTGGAGTGAATCATATGGCGAGAAACGCAGAAATTCCCCTTGCCCATACTCTTCTTCCTGTGTTGTTTAATTCTACACTGTGGCCTATTGTTATGCCACTCATAATTGCAAGCACCACTCGCAATCGTGCAACAATGATGAGTGACAAAGAGTTCATGAGTATAGTGGGTTTCCGTATACCAGAAAGAGGCAGAAACTATCCTAAGAAAGGCTATATATTCTTTTAACACTAAGAAAGGCTAATTAAACCCCATTTAATAAAGCATGCTAGCTAACACTTAGCAGTAGCAGCATAGGGCCCTACTCGTGAAAAAAAGTTTTAGTACCTATACCTTGTGATCTTTCCGATTTTTCTATATATTCTTGGCCCAGCCCCACTCGTATGCAGGCCGGCCCTACACTCGGCCTTCCAGAAGGCCGTCTCCACCGAACAGCTCACGAAATAGCAAAGCGCCGAAGCCCATTAGCCCACTAACCAGTGAAAACCCTAGCCTGCAGTGCCGAGTGCCGACTGCCGACTGAATCCGAATCGTGCTCTCTCTCTCTCTGCCTCTCTCCATCTCTTGGTCTCTCTTCGATCTCTCTCTGCAGGAGGCGCGGCAGCGTTCAATAGGACGGCGGCTGGCAGGGAGGCGCGAGGCGGCGTGCGGCGGCGGGGGCGTGGCTGCGCGAGGCGGCGGCCTGCAGGCTGCAGCGTGCGGGCCGTGCGGCGGCGGTGCGCGAGGCGGCGGCGGCGGCTTGAGGGTGTGCGATGGGGCCGTGGCGGCGCGAGGCGGCAGCCTGCAGGCGGCGGCGAACGGCGTGCGGCGGCGGCTTGCGGTCATGCGGGAGTGGAAGGTCAGTGGTTTTTTGTTCTCTTTCTTCTTCCTTTCTCACTTCTCAAATCTGAAATCTCAAACCTATAGCTTTATTGTTTCGCTTTTACTATTCTGCAGTCGCCTGCAAAATTACGATCCATCAGTCGATCTCCCGGCCGTCGATCATGGCGTCAAGATCTGTGCGTTCTCGGGCCTATGGGGAGGCCCATTTTCTTAAAAACCCAAGGTCCAGGGGTCCGTAGCTGCCACCACCGCACTGAAGGCAAACACGATTCGTCCACCGGCTCTTCTTCTCGAGCGGAGAGGCATTTTCCCCTCTTGAATCCATCGCCGCGGCAGTGATTCGCCCACCGGCGGCGGCTGCGAGCGTCGGCATCGGCGGCGCTGGAAGGGTCAGGTACCCCTCTTTCTCTCTCTCTCTTACATATGTGTTTTTTGCAATCTTTGATGCGTTTTCGAAATCTGCTTGTTCTGTGTGTGTTTGTGGGGGGTGGGGGGGTGTGGGGGAGGGTTAGGAGGAGGGAGGGGTGGTGGTGGTGGATCTCCCGTTGTTCTGTTTGTTAGGGATGGAGAGGCAAAATTACTGGGTTTTTCACCTACACGCTACCTTTTTTTTTGTTTTTTGATTAGGTATTTTTTGTCTACGTGGAAGCAGGTTTTGTGAAATAGAGTAGATGGGAGAGGCATGGAGCTGGGTGGTGGAGAGCATCACCGCGATCCATAGATGGCGAGGCCGCGAGCGACAGGGGTAGGACTTGTAATGAAGTTTCAGCGATCACCATCCAATATTTATCCTAGAGTTTCCTGTCGATTGATTGATCTTGCTTGGAGATGATACTTTGTGATTTGTTATTTTAGAAGATACTTCTGAGAGCTAATGCTAATCATGTTTTGGCAATCAACCTGCTCGTGTATTTTAAGAGCTTAGCTATATTTAACTATAACTTAAACAAGTGGAGAGCTGCTCTGTCAGTTAACCGAAATGGAGGCCTGAAAGGGGAAGGAGACGAGCTGCACAATCAGCCGCGTCCATGTTTTTTTAGAGGCCTCATTGCGATGACATAGATTAGGGACGCTTGCAAATTGCTTATACAAATGTAGGGCATTAAAATGTCACTAAAATGACATGGATTACGCTGAGAAACTTATAAAATGTCAAAATCAAGCATCCACAGTATCGTTTTGAGCTTCTAGCTGACCTGTGCAGTGGAGGCATTGGTATTGGGGCTTCTGTGTAATATCAGTTAGTTTGATTTACTAATTTTTGAATTTAGTAGCTGATCTGGGATGTGTTTTTTGGCCTCCTGATGTGATTTTTTTGATTCAATAACTTGTTGCAAGTTTAAGTCTGAGACCTCATGTAGTCCTGTTTCTGCATTTTTGGGGCAATGACAGAGGGTCCTTTGTGCTCAATATATGTTGTCATCCCACAGTTCTGCTATGTTGTTGTCCAAGCTATTTATGGTTATATTATCAGGTCTTGCAGTTTTTGGTGATACCTTTGTTGATAGCGCAAGGGCCTAACAGTGACTTGTTTAATGCCCACCGAAAATGTTAACTAAAATGAAATCTGAAATTGTTCACAATGACAGACAGCAGCATTGCTCTTCAGTTAATCTCAAGCATGAGCTTCTCTGAACATTTAAAATTGCAAACTCTCAAACTTGCTGGATCGGAATACTAGCAGTAGATGGGTGTGCTTTTCTTCCGAGTTTGAATCAATAGATATTATCTAGTCATGAAATGCAGTCTAGTGTTAGCTTTCTTTTTTTCTTAATAATCGAGGTACTGCTTTCTTTAGTTGTTACTTTTGTTTGGGATATGCGTACATGCTACTTTTGATCCTTCTTTTTTTAGCATAATGAAATCATCAATGTGCAACCTTGTAACAATATTTTCTGCAACTTTGGGGGTTATAATCTTTGTGCAACTATAGATTTGTAACACCCAGAATGGACTGTCGCCCTTCACGCATACGTTATCTGGATGTTGAAATCTCTCTCTTGGCATTTTCCTGTGAATTTATTTGTGGTTTTTCAAAGTCAAGGGAATGGAGGATAACAGTCCTCCCCCAAAGTTCATGTGATGTATGCATGTATTCCACAATTTCTTTTTTCCAGTGAACATATACATGCATAGGCAAATATGGTGAAAAGGTATTTTTGTTATACTAATGTTATACTACAACGAATAAAATCTTTATGCAAATTTGATAATTTGTTATGCACATATGTAATGTCCTTTTTTATGTGACTTGCACATTATAATATTTGTGCAACTCAATTTTTGTGTTCCCTTCTGAAATTATTGGGGCAACTCAATTTTTGTGTTCCCTTCTGAAATTATTGGGGCTTTCTAAAAGCCTAGTATATATTTTGTACTCTAGGTTTTCTGAACATTTTGTGTAAACTGACTGTGTGAAAAGTTGTGATTTGGCTGAAGGAATTTTTAATTACAATTGAAATGATTGTATGTCTTGGATTTAGGGAGGTTTGTATTCCTTCATTCCACGTGGCATTTTCCGCCTACATTGAGTTATGAATTATTAATGTTTTGCACATGCCTTGTTTTGCTTTGAAGATCATAACAGATATTTCTTTTGGCCTTGTTTTGCTTTGAAGATCATAACAGATATTTCTTTTGGGCAGTTAATATGGGATGTGAGAGTTATACATAATTACTTGCAGTGAAAATTAACTAAAATTGCACAACATAAAAAAGATGAAAGTATGGCATGTCTTTTGTGCAACTAAAGGCATTTTGCTTTTCCTGAGTGCGTCATGTTATGTTTTGTTCTAGCTATAGATTTCCTAAGGCACTAAAGGTTTACTATTTCCATTGATCTGATTCTGCTGATTTTATTCTCTGATGATAACTACACAACCATGTTTTGTGTTGTTTGTGCTGATTTGTGTGAGAACTCATAATTTTGCTACTATGGCTAGTATTCCAAACACTCTCGCTTGGGTGCACAAGAAAATGGTGCTTTCAAAATCAGGAACCAACAAATTTTTATTCTATATATATTGTGCTATTATTTGTTATATGTCCTTTTTTCTGTCTTGTGCAACTTGAGGAAATAATATGTGCATCTTTGCTCACTTCTATAATTTCTGGTGTGTGTCTAGGCTTGGAAAAAAAGAGAGAGGCAGAAGAAACACTACAGTTCTACATGCACCAAGATCCTATCAGGTTGGTGTGATATGTTGAACTTTTTTGTGGGTGCATTTATGTTGTATCGCTGTTGCTTCTTGTGCAGGGCAAATTGCAAAATTTCATATATTGATGGAATCAGGCATCCAAACAAAAAAGCAACACTAAAGTTGTGATTTGGCTGAAGGAATTTTTGGTTCTGATTGAAATGATTGGATGTCTTGGATTTTTGGAGGTTGTTGTTCCTTTATTCCACGTGGCATTTTTTCCCTCATCGAGTCATGAATTTTTAATGTTTTGCACATGAATTGTTTTGCTTGGAAGATCATAACAGATATTTCTTTTTTGGCCAGTTAATATGGGATGTGAGAGTATACATAGTTACTTGCAGTGAAAATTAACTAAAATTGCACATCTTAAAAAGATGCAAATATGGCATATCTTTTATGCAACTAAAGACATTTTGCTTTTACCTGAGTGTGTCATGTCATGTTTTGTTCTAGCTGTTGATTTCCTAAGGCACAAAAGGTTTACTATTTCTATTGATCGAATTCTGCAGATTTTTTTCCCCTGATGACAACTACACTGCCATGTTTTGTTTTGTTTGTGCTGATTTGTGCGAGAACTCGTAATTTTGCTACTATGGCTAGTACTCCAACAACTCTCGTTTGGGTGCACGTGAAAATGACGCTTTCATAATCAGGAACTATCATGTTTTTATTCTATGCAGATTGTACTCTCATTTGTTAGTGTGTCCTTTTTTCTGTCATGTGCAACTTCATTTATAAATTTGGGCAACTGGAGGAAATAATGTGTGCAATTATTGATCCGATTCTCTTTCCTATAATTTTGTGATGTGTGTTTAGGCTTGGAAAAAAAAGAGAAAGGTAGAAGAAACTCCACTGTTCTACATGCACCTAGAGCCCCATTAGGTTGGTGTGATAGGTTGAACTTTTTTTCTAGGTGCATTTATGTTGTATTTGTTGTGGCTTTCTGTGTGGGGCAAATAGCGAAAATACAAAATTTCATATATATTGATGGAATCAGACATCCAATCCAAAAGACAACACTAATGAGATTTCTTTTTGTCCTTTCTTTTTGTTTCAGAGGATTGGATTTTTTTTTTCAACTACAACATGAGAACAGCGGTGGCAGACACATCAAGCATCCACATATCAACAAAAAAAATAGAAAATACATTTGACGATCTGTATTTTATACTAAATTCGTCCTTGCGGTTTCGATCGACCTGATCCTCTTGCTTCCTCTAATCCAATATAGTGTATTTGATCTGTAATGTGTGGGTGTGATTTTTGCTATGAGTTTTGGTCCTCCCTCTCTTCACCCTTCACGTGTCTTGCTATGTCTTGAGAGGCAACAAATAATGACATAAAGCCCAAAGCCCATATGCATGAATCAAAACTAATTCGACCTTATGGATTAAAAGTTCTTTTCAGAAGATTTATATGGTTCACTCACAGCAGAAGTCACAATAGTGTATTGACGATTATAAGCCCAAAACATTTTGACAAAATCCCAAAGGCACATGCATGTAAATCAGTAAAAAAAATGAAAACAGTGCAGATATTAGCCCAAAACACTACAGAAAGGCAAAAGCCCAAAGCAGTCAAAAACAGAGAGACTATGGGCCTAGAATCTTTTTTCTTTTTTTTGCACAAGCTCTTTTTTTTTCTTTTTTGTGTTTCAACACGCCGTTGGATGTACAATTGACGGTGCACAGAATCGACTGATCAACCACCAAAATTGCAAGCGATTGCAGAATAGACGGTTACATCACATTACTCAATTAGATTTGGTTTGAACTCGTAGATAAAGAGAAGTAGGACAATAAAATCATTCTATCAAGTTCAGTCCTCAAATGAATCCACCCTGGCAACTCAGGAAACGGAAGAAACCAATGACTCCATTCCAATGCCTAATTCAGCAGAAACCATGGCTAGTAACAATGAGCAAGATCTACTGGTGGAGAAACCCTTTGTACTCCCGGTTCGTAACCCCCTTTAGTCCCGGTTATCCAACCGGGACTAAAAATCGCTATCTTTATTCCCGGGTGAAATAACCGGGACTAAAGATCGATCTTTAGTCCCGGTTGGTCAACCAAGACTAAAGATACCTATCTTTAGTCCCGGTTGGTTAAAGAGAGGGTAGCGGCAGTCCCATTAGGTCTCATTTTCTTTTCTTTTTTTTCATTATTTTTTAGCCAGAGTTTAATCCCTGTATTTTCTCCCAAATCGAGTGGGATGCATATTCCCAAATCAAACCCCAAATCAAAGTAACATCCCAAAACATTCACATCACAAATCTTAAGTTACTTTTACACACAAATCAAATACATCACAAATCTTAAAAAAATTACATACAAACCAAATACATCATATATTATACATCTTAGATCCATACAACAAATCACAAAATTATACATCTTAGTGAATCACAAATTGTAAAAAAAAAGAAAAAAGAATGGATGCCGGTAGCGCCGCATGCCGCCGCTCCCCGTGCGCGGCCTGCGTGCGGCCCCGCCAGACGCGTGCGGGATGGGACGAGGGGGAGGAGGCGGCCCTCGCGTGGGCATCGGATGGGAAGGGAGGAGGGGGAGGAGAGGGCCGGGATGGGAGGAGGAAGGGGAGGAGACGGACGAAGAGATCGGATTGGAAGGGAGGAGGGGGAGGAGATGGTGCCGGGATTGGGAGGCGGAAGGGGAGGAGAGGGAGATGGATATGAGGAGAGGCCGGTTGTTGTTGAGGAGATTGAGGCCGGTTGTGGGGGGAGAGGATAGGGAATAGGGATTATATACTACGCGTGATTTTAGTTCCGGTTGGTAATACCAACTGGAAGTAAAGATCCGGTTGGTAATACCAACTGGGAGTAAAGATCCTAACTGGGAGTAAAGATCCGGTTGGTAATACCAACTGGGAGTAAAGATCTAGGTGATCTTTAGTCCTGGTTAGTAATACCAACCGGGACTAAAGTGATCTTTAGTCTCGGTTCGTGACACCAACCGGGAATAAAGATCCCCGCCCCTTTGACAACATGCGAATGATCCCCGCCCCTCTGACAACATGCGAATGAACCGGTACTAAAGATCATCTTTAGTCCCGGTTGAAACCCCATAGCCATTCTACGATCTTTAGTCCCGGTTCTTTTTATAACCGGGACTATTGTGGTTTTGGGACGACCAAGCAAAGATCAGTTTTCCAGTAGTGAACGTATTGTGCTAGAACCAAATGCGGTTGTTGCACATTTGTCATGGCAAGTTTTAGCCTTTAATTTCCGCCCTAGGCGTCCGAAGATCTGGTTCCGCCACTGGTCGCGCCGTAGCGTGGGGCGTCCTCAGCAGCAGCAGCGGCGTCGGCGTCTACACGGCTAAACACCGCCCACACCGGAGGATCATTTACATGCAGCCCGTTTTTCAGCTTAGAAAGTAACCTGACTTTTGATTGCAGAGTATCCTGATCTATATGCTGAAACACTAGAGTGGATCCGTTAATTTAACTAGATTTGTGTTAGGGCTTCAACTCTTAAATTTATCAGGAGCAGTGGCAAAGCCAGGATTAATTCTAGGATATATATATAGGGTTGTGAGAACTTACCTTCTGGGCTACTTCAGCATGAGGTCTCGGGCGGTCGCCGGATGGGCCCGGCCGCTCGACGGACGGGCGGCGAGATGCGACGGGCGACGGCAGGGAGATGCGAACACGAACGCCCATCAGCTTCCGACGAGGGAGAGGGCGAGCTCTCTCTCGATGTCTCTCTGATCTCCCTTTTCTCTGCTAGCTAAATGGGCCACATGATGGCTGGCAGATGGGCTTGTACACAGCTTTGGTTGGGGGTGTTCACTGGCCCAATGGGGGTCCCAGGCCCAGCCCTGAACTCTTCAGCCCGTTTCAGTTTCTTTTCAGGTGGTTAGGTTCTAACGTCTTGTTTGGCAACTTGAGGGAAGGGGATTGGGAGTTTACTAGAGGGAATTGATGGTGAGATTAAGATGGGAATTTAATTTTTCATCCCAGTCTCTTATTTGGTAGAGGTGGTGGAAATTGATAGGGAGTTTAGTTGGAGATTAGATCATTAATGAAAACGGATGGCTGAGATTTGTTTAGGCGAAGTAAAGGAGGAATTCCCTCCCAATTACCTGCCCCTACTCAGGTATTGAAAATGAGGGAGTTCATTCCTCAATTCCCCATCCCCATCCCACCAAAATTCCCATGTCCCCCAACCAAACAAAACAGTTAATAGCCTCATCCCTCTAAACTTCCAATCCCTCCTAAAATCTCCCTCCAACCAAACAGACCCTAAGCTCTATGAGTTGGAACCCTGCCAAATTGACACTTTATTACCAAACCATCTTTACTGTTGAGCAAATAATTGTACTAATAGTCCCATTCCAATATGTGTGGTAATGATGGATGTGAATTGTTAATTAAAGGCGCTTTCTAGCTAGATGATTGTATAGCCCATGTTAATTATTTAAATATTATAAAGCTAGCAGATACTCAGAAAATAAGAACCTAAACAACATTGATGTTGAATTTTGTTTTAGAAATGGTACTTCTATGGGAGTGGCACAAATAATCCATCTCTATTAATTAGCAATGGCATTCTCATAGGTATGTGAACTTGCAAGCTGCATACTGTAACTTTTCAAAGTTAACATGCATGACGCAGCTAACTATTTTCAATGTTAACATTCACATCCTGTTTTTACAAAATACGGTTAACCTGATTATGACAGCATTATGGTAAACCTGATTATCATTTTTCACCCACCCAAATACTGATTTTACACAATACAATTTTTGTTAAAAGTTAACGACAGATCAGCAAGAAAAAAATGGCTATATTACAGGTCTTGTATATTCCTTCGTCTTGTACGATACTTCAGTTAAACATTTAAACCCAACCGTGATTTGAAAAATAGAATTACATGACAACGAGGGACCCTAAACCCTAACTCAGTCAGCCTCCACCTCACCATGGGACGCTAGCCGCTTTGAGCTCGGAACTGCATCCGGCCATCACGAGTTCTAGGGTGCCCAGATCTACGCCCGGGCGGGCCAATTGATGTTGGTTTTACCCATCTTCTTGATATTGATTTTTCTTTTGTTGCTGCAATGGATAGCTAGGTACTTGGACGGTAGATGGGTTCTGATTTGAGTAGTAATGCATTCGTGCTAAAAATTGTGGTTCACTTTCTATGATGTCTGATGTTAAAAATATTTTTTGATTGAGGAAGAAGAGGTAGGGAATTTTGTGTCTTGAATCAATCAGCTCGAATTGATTGATCTTCCATTTTTTTTTTCAAGACCAACTATCCCCTTCATCTGTGCCACTATTGTGGTGCCCGTTGAGAAATTCGACACCTATATGGGCTCCTAGCCAATACCTAAGGGGGTTTCTGTAGTAGTGTGTCCTTTTTCAAAGGGTGGATTTTGGTTCATTTGAAACATGGAAAAAATCTTTATCCCTTAGATGTCACCTTGCGAGGCTACTTATTGGGAAATTGCATGTGATCAGTCATCCGACAAAGATGAAAAAATTGGAAATTGAGCTGAAGCCTCCTACCCTGCATGTGCATATGAGACTTTCTCTCTTCTTTCTCCCTGAGCTAAGAATTTCGTCCATGCATGATACTGTATCTATAAGCATTAAATAATTTTTCTTTAAAACTATTTATCCAATTTACAACTGTTATCCCACTGTATTTGTTGTAATTAAGTCTTTACGATAAATCTTAGTTGGTTATATTCTAATAAATAAAACATATATGTTTCATCATGTTAAAATTTATTTTTCCATGCGTGAGAAATAAATGTTTCAATTGAAATCCGACACTGTTGTAGATTTTAAGTTTTGTGTTGCAATTGATTATATTTAAGTGTTTCACATGGTGTTATTTGAATATTTTACTGAATACTTCTTCTAATGTTTCGCTAATAAACAAATGTTACACATGGTGTTGTTTAGATTTTTTTTAATAAGTATATTTTCTAATCAATTACAACTCGTTGTTTCATATATAACGTAAAAATGTTTCAATAGGAACATTTCATATTTATATATCATAGAAAATAAATATAATCAAGTGAGATATCTTGTTATAAAGATTTAACTGTAACAAATATAAATGTGGGATTCAATTGTAGATAGGATAAGTAATTTAGAAGGAAAAGTAGTTTAATGTTTTACATGTAGCGAGTAGCCCATATGTATGCAACTCACATAATTTTTTCTCATTGTCACATACGCCATCCAACCAAGGCGGCGGGGATGTGTGTAAGATTTTTTACCGAATATCGGACGTCCGATCCGGTTTGCTCTCCACATCATTTTTTTCCTAGTGTGTCACATGCGCCATACAACTACACAAAAGGAATTGGTAGGACAAATGTATCACACATCCTTTGCCTGCTACCGAAAAGCATATTAAAGACTACTTTGTTTCTCTTTTAAACAACTCCAAAATCCCTCCAAAACTCAGACATTGTCATGGACGACTTAGGCATGCAAGGATCTTAATCCATTAATTCCCTCATCTCAAAGTCAATATTCTCAAGCCCTAATTGGTCTAGGAAAAGGCACAACCATGATTGGCAGCAAAGCTCAGTAGTGGGATCATCTGTTCGAACTCAACCATGATAATTGGTAGGACAGATGTATCAAAGTGGGTCCATCCAAATTGCCGGGCAATACCGAACCTCCCCTTTATAAGTTTGCTAGTTGTCATCCCCCAACACTGCCAAACACAAGCATCAACAAAACATAGATCACCATGCACACAAAGGTGCCAACCTCTCCCCTCCTCCTCCTCCTCCTCCTCCTCGCCGTCGTCGCGCTCTCGCTCGCCGTCCCGTCCACCGGCGACATGAGGGCCGTGCTCTCGGGCGGCGAGGGCGCGGCCCGCCACGGCATCGACGTGGCGGTGCGGCGGCTGGCGATGGTGGCGCCGTCGTCGTCGGCGAGGCTGGAGGACGCCGTCGCGCCGGAGCTTGGGGTGGACATGGAGCTCCACCGGCGCATCCTCGCCGGCAACGTCGGGTCGGGGGCGCTCAGGCCCGACCGGCCGGCGTGCGTCCAGTCGTGCCCGGCGCGCGGGGGTTCGTACACCGGCAGAGGCTGCAAAACGGTGTACCGGTGCAACAACAATTAATGGCGGCTAGCTAGCTAGACACTACGGCCACAAATTTATTTTAATTTGCAATGGATCGATGTCTATTGGTGTTTTTCATTTGGCCTTAATTTGAATAGATAATTTCAATCCACTAAAACCGTTTCCGCTTTGTAGTCATTGATGAATATTCCAGTATATCTTCTAATTAACAACTACAGCGAAAGTTCTTCCACATTTGAAATTAGTTAATTAAGGGACTATCTTGTTGCATGCATGCCTCTATTGTTGTTGAGATATGCAAAGGGTTGTTGTCTCCTCTCCCATATGCTCCATATCATTTACTATATATCGATATATTTGGATAGATATTACTCCCAACCAAATTTGTTTCATTTTAATAGAAAAAATGTACGCTCTACATTTTTGTTCAGCGCAAATTAAATACACAATGCCATGCCGTGCCAGTAATAACTACAATGATAGTTACTTCCTCCGTTTCACAATGTACGTCATTATAGTATTTTTCACATTCATATTGATGTTAATGAATAAAGATAAATATATATGTCTAGATTCATTAATATCAATATGAATGTGGAAAATATTAAAATGACTTACATTGTGAAACGGAGGGAGTATAATTTAGTCTCTCAAAATATACTATGAACTATGAACTACTAGTATGAAGGAGACGCACTAATCCTAAACTATATGACAGGGTTGAGTGGCATCTGACCAGGCAGCATATGCATGCTTTGTTTGTCGGCGGCGTTCACTAGTTCACACAACTTTCCAAACACGCCGCAATCAATCAAAGGGACCAATTGACGTGCATCCATTTGTGGGATCGAGTAGTTGTGACTGGCAACCACGTATGCAATACGTCATGCGCGAATATAAAGCCTTTGTTGGAAGCTCTTTAGAGCCCGGATAAATTTAATAAATATATAAAGTATTTGCTACAAAAATTATATTATCAATCCGTTCAACAATATTAAATTTTATAGAGTTTTTGCCGATGGATGACCACCTAAGGTAGCCCGGCGGTTGGTATGTTCCTAGCTCGTATTATTAGATATTCTAGAAATTAAAACATAGTTTTAATACAATAAACAGGGTGAGGCTAACGAGATTGCTGCAACCCGCTCCCTTCCCTATACTCCTCTTCCTTCTTTCCTTTCATCATAAAATTAAAAAAAAAACACAAAAATGAGTAAAAAAATAGAAAAAAAAATTAATACTCTCATTCATGTGCATAGACTTTATATCGTAAACTTTGCACTTATAAACTTTATGTATAGAAATATTTTATATATAAAATATTTGAATCCAAATTTGAATTTGAATCGGGTATATAAACTTTTAACTTATAAACATTCGCTCTACAAACTTGAGGTGGATATACTTTAGATGTGTAAACTTTAGGTGTATAAACTTACTAAAAGAGGAAAAATATAAAATATTTGAATTCGAATTTGAATTTGAATCGGGTATATAAACTTTTGACTTATAACATTCACTTTACAAACTTTAGGTGGATAAACTTTACATGTGTAAACTTTAGGTGTATAAACTTAGTAAAAGAGAAAAAAAGAAAAAAAACGATCGCTGACCGCGATTAATCGCTCATTAGGAATTTCGCAATAAACACTGGTTTGATCCTCTACTATTTTCATAAAAATATAACGTCTGGCATGTCTCACACGGTAATAATCTTGGTTTCTCTTATTAATGATAACTTTTACACAAGTATACACCAGTATATATATACCATCAGTACGTAGATTGTACTGGGCGGTATATAGGTGGAGAAATTAATAATTTTATAGGAGATTGGAAAGGGCGCGCTTTCTATATTTCGTGGTTGAAAGTTAATCCGTTTTAATTGAGACTCGTTTATGCACGCTGACACTGCCGCTGGATCTCGTTTGTGCGTCTGCAATAGACGATGCCACATGTCGTCACGGCACGATTATCAAGACAACAGCATCCCCACATAAATCAAGGCGTGAAGAATAGACACAAGGAAAGGACAATGAACCTCCGAGCTGCCCCACGGCGCCGCCCTCCAAGCTGCACTCCGGCATCGTCCTCCCAACAACGCTCTCCGGTGCGCCGCATCACGAATCGCCCCGAAATCGCCTTCGCCGTCGCCTTGCTTAGCCTAGGGTTTTTCTCACACTACGAAATGAGGATATATATATATATATATATATATATATATATATATATATATATAGAGAGAGAGAGAGAGAGAGAAAGCGCCACGCCCGCGATATTATTTTCACCGTCCAGACTGACTTGGCACGCGTGGAAATCGTTTCTACATCACACTGCCATATGGGGCCCACGTGCGGACTCAGCCGTTTAACAGGGTCAACGATGCCATATCGGACGAAACCGTCTCAGGAGTCGTTTTTCAACGGTTTTCAGAGTTGGGGGACGGGTTATACTTATACCCAGTTTTTCTGTTGAGGGATGCTATTCATACATGCACCGCCATGAGTTGAGGGAGGGAAAGTGGACTTATTCCTAGTTAGATAAATATCTTTAGCAGCAAAAGTAAAAATTAAAATAAATAAAAAAATAGAAAAAATAGAAATACGTACGGTATACGGTTTAGTTATCTTCATAGACTCCAAACCTCTCCAATATTATCTCGGAGACGCTCGCGTTGCGTGGTAGACGGACTTCACGATGAATGGCGGCGTCTCGTCGTGTCCTCCGGCGGCTGTCTCCTCTGCCCGAAACGACGACGACGATGCCGCCGCTGGCGCCACCACGACGACGAGGAGGCCGACGTGGAGGCGACGCCGCTCGCAGAGAGGGAAGCCACGGTTCACGCTGGCCAAGCACCCCACGCGTCGGGCGATGCTTGCCATGCGGCGCGCCGCGCAGCGGGCGATCGCCGCGGCGGAGAAGGCCGCGCGGAGGAAGACGCAGCGAGCGGTCGCCGCGGCGGCGAGGGCCGCGCGGAGGAAGAAGAAGGCCGCCGAGAGCGTCGCCCGGAGAGAGCAGAAGGCCGCCATGAGAGAGCAGAAAGCCGCCGCCGCCGCTGGCCAGAAGAAACGGAAAGCCGCCGCCGCCGCCGCGGCCGCCGTGCGGGCGACAGCGCGGCGTAAGCTCGACTTCGACGGTGAGCAGCAGCAGATCATGCCGCCGGAACGCATCTACCGGCAGACCTCCTCCAGCAGCAGAGCCGATCTGATGGACAACATGAGGCTCCTCCTCGTCGCGTTCGACCTGTCGCCGCCGGAACAGCCCTGCACGCCACCGGCGAGATCGGAGAGGCAAATCCTGCGGCTGCCGCCGCCGGCCACCGTGACCACCGCCATCGTCGCCCTCAAGAACAAGCCGAAGAAAGCGACAACGGTGAACAAGCTCGCGCTGGTGCCGTACAAACCCACGCGCGCGGCCGCCTCCGCCGTCGACGAGGTGCTCCCGGGGGCGCTGGTGCTCTACGGCGACGGCGAGCCGACCACGCAGGCGGCGCGGATGTTCGTGCCACGGTGGACCTCCGTGCGGCTCGTGTTCGACAAGCTCCCGCCTCGCTTCGGCCTCGTCGTCGGCCTCGACGCCGCGACGAGGGCCGTGTACAACGAGCTGGTGCGGCGGGAGGCAACGTCGTACGGCGACGACGAGCTCCACGACGTGCCCGGCGGCCCGGAGTGGAACGAGCGGCGCCGCGAGTTCGAGCGCAAGGTCGACCACTTCATGTACAACATGCGGAGCATAATCGGTAACCATCTCGAACCAGAAGCACATCTTTGATCTCACTAAAATCCTACTCCCTTCATGTCTAAATATTTGATGCCGTTAACTTTTTTAAACATGTTTAATTGTTCGTCTTATTAAAAATTTTGTGAATATTATTTAAAAACTTGAGTAGTAGTAGTATATTTAACAATGAATCAAATGATTGGAAAATAATTAATAATTACTTAAATTTTTTGAATAAGTCGAACGGTCAAGCATGTTTAAAAAAGTCAGCGGTGTCAAATATTTAGGGACAGAGAGAGTATATTGAAAGTCCACCTGCATATATGTAATATTTTTTTGTGGGTATCTGGATTTGAACCCTAGTCGATGAAGTTATGTACCTACTACTCTATCATTAGACGTCTAGTGATTTTGATTACTTTCCATATAAGTTTTGTTTTGACACATTTTTGGTAAGATAATGTGCATCTGTTTTGAAATTCGTTTACATGTGCAGGGGATAGAAACTTTTCTCCATGGGGAGGATCAGTGGTCACCTCTGTAGTTGGCACATTTCTCACGCAAAATGTCTCGGACAACTTGTCGAGGTAAAAAAAAAAAAATCAAAGCTTATGCATATTTTGCTCGATTCGTTTTGAACACACTCTAATTGTCTCGCTGAATTTGCAGCAACGCTTTCATGACAATCGCGGCGAGGTTCCCTCTGAAGAACCGTAGGAATGCAGGACACCATTCAGACAATGTACCTTTGTTGGCGCAGAATTCAGGCAATGTACCTTTGTTGTTAGCTGATGGTCACGATGAACAAGAACAATGCCATTGCCAGCTTCAAAGCATAGCACAATGCAGCAGTGGTTCAAAATCAGGTGTGGCTGAACCCGGTGATGTCAGCCAACGAGCTGAGCAAACAGAGTGCCCTGACAAGGATCTTGAGGCGATCATGTCGGCGATACGAAGCGGCGATATATCAAATTTTGACGATGATCACATACAGAAGGTTCTGAAAGTCAGGTTCAAAGATTCGACACCTCCTCCTTCCGAATCTTCTTCTTCGAGAAAAAAGTCGATATCCACAGCTGAAACAATCTTCAAGGACATTAAGTCTATTAAGAAAAATGATACCTCCCATTGGCATTCTCTCTATGATGAAGCTCGCAACAGAGGGTACATAAGAGATGATGACATTCCTGACATGGTCGATTGGGAGGCTTTGATGAATGCACCATTTGCTGATGTTGTGGACTGCATCAAGGACCGAGGACAGCATTCTCAAATGGCATTTAGAATCCTGGTATCTCTGTCACAACTGCATGATTTCCAGATGTTTCTTTCACTTGATTTTTATTTGAAGCAAATGAAAGAGTTGTCGATCTGATTTTTAAACTTTTTTTTTTGTGCAGGCTTTTCTAATTCGCATGAAAAGAGACCATGGAAACATTGACCTTGAATGGCTTAGATTCATCCCTCGTGCAAAGGCAAAGTAAGGATAGCTATCTCCCTACTTTGCTATCCTATAAATAAATAATATATATACTTTGTACTGTAGGCGCAAATGTTGTATATTTATATCTTGTCTGGAGCAATTGATTTATGGTGGAGTTTTACAAACTGAGTGAAAAAAAACCTAATGGACAAATAAATTATTTTGTTTGTGAAGTTATGTGACAATTATTCGTACTCTCTTGTTGGTTATTCAGGCAGTACCTACATAGTGTAATTGGGCTTGGACACAAAAGTGTTGACTGCATTCGCCTCTTATCTCTGAGACACAGAGCATTCCCGGCAAGCTACCTCTTCTCAAATCAGATAATTCTTCCTGTGAATATGCAATCACAACTGAAAATTTTAACAGCATCCTCTCATTTCAGATTGACACAAATATCGCTCACATAGTTACAAGGCTAGGATGGGTGCAACTCCGTCCTTTGCCATCATCTCAGGAGTTTCATCGGGTAGACAAGTAAGTTAATTAGTATGCCTTCTATTTTTGTTAAGGCATATATTTACATGGTCCAAATCCTCTATCCTAACTTCATTCTGAAGGCATACTTTTACATGTTCCAAATCCTCTATCCTAACTTAATTCTCCTTTTTTAAGCTACCCTGTCATGGCCGATATCCAAATGTATCTTGATCCCTTGATGTGTAATATTTCTTCAGCAAAACAGTAAGTTCTCTACTTTAATTCAAGCGATGCCTGGGTATTTGTCATTTGATCGAATTTGTCTAACAAACCAGCGCACAAACAGGTACGAGCTGCATTGTCAGATGATAACTTTTGGAAAGGTATGCCAAAAAATTCATTATTTATTCTCTTTCTCAATATTGATGGTGGCGTTTTATTTGCCATGCTAGGCAATTTGTAGGAAATCAAAACCAAACTGTGGCGCGTGCCCATTTACTTCTGAGTGCAAATATTACAAAAGTCAGTTTGGGAGGTATGTAAATATAGAGGAGCTATGAACTCAAATACTGGTACAAAGTTGCATTTTTCTTGAGAAATTTACCACAGGAAAGTTTCAACAATAGCTACTAAATTAATTTCAGTTACTTGTTTTTCCAGTATTAAAAAATTCATTATTATCAAAATGTTTGTCATTCTCACATTCCAAAGCATATTCAAATATGACATTCTTTTCTTACCCTTCATCAATTCAACTGCAATAACACCAATACTACACACAGGGAATATTAATGCTTGTTTTGGGAAAATTAACTAGGAAGTAATTAATGAGGGTAACAATGTAATTTGTCAGATCTCATGTGGTGTGAGATTTACTAGAAGCATACTTACACCGCTCTAGTTTTAAAATTCTTGACGTTTTGAACAATCATACAATTTTATTTATTATATTGTTCAATGTAAGACGAATCTATACTGTTGTTCTAGTGTGTTTAAAATAAATATTTTTAAAGTTATTAATAGTCAAAGTTATAAGAGTTTGATGTTAAAATTTTCTGAAACGTCAATTATAAAATCGGAGGGAGTAAGTAGACTGAAACAGGGGAGCAATTAACTTCATTTTGAAAAAGGGAGTAAATTTTAAAACATGTCACGTTCCAAGACACGTCTAACAATAATCATCAAATTTAGAGACCATGGTTAGGAATTTAATGTAACCACGTTATATTAGTCCCTAACCATGGTGTTATAAGTGAAAAGCAAACTAAATCGGTTGCTTATTGTTATGTGTCCCAAAACATGGTGCTATCTGAAATTTATATCTGAAACAGTGTAGCACAGTGTTTGGTTCTTTCTGTATTACTTATCAGTAGTTACAATTTTGGACTTTTTGTTCATCAATGATTTTTGTTCGTGTATTGACTGCATGTGGTGTTATGTGTTTTTGTTCCAGGGCCGCGCTTGCTCTCCCAGAGTACAGCCAGCAAGATGCAACAAAGGATGCAAACATGGACGACCCAGCAAAGACATATGATCTAATTTTCAAAGCACATCAATACCAAATCGAATATGGAAAAAACACAGAAATGAATTATTGCGAGCCTGTTATCGAGATACCACCAACTCCACTACATGAAAACCGAGGAGAAACAAGTGATGAAGACGATGAGAATGGGTACTATTTCGATGATGATATGGAAGACATAGGTCGACACGATTATGATATGGAAGACATAGAACACGATTATGATATGGAGGTAGATCTTCGCTCTGCGAAACCCACCACAAACACAAGCCAGGCAGGAGCTACACCTGGGAAAGAGATGATTCCAATCAATCCACGAGCCAAATCAACTCCAATGGTGAAGAAATTTTCTCTGCGAACAGAGTACACTGCGTATGCTGAAAATTTCCTTTTGTGAAATAAATTAAACTTCATGTTGATTATTTTAGAATATTTTACAGCTGGGCTCTAATTATTCTGGTTTTTTTCACTATTGCTGTTTTTAGATGTATCATTCCTGATGGCCATATCATCTTGAAAAAGGTTAGGAATTGATTACGTCATCTTATATTGACTAGTGAACTAATTATGTTTTACTCTCTTACCAAACTATTAAACTAAACTTCATTGAATGTTGACGATATATTTTCTAGTTTGATCCAAGGGTCCCTGGTGACCGAAATCCATATCTCTTGGTATTTCGTAGTTTTGACGAACATACTGTGAAGGCTACAATTTTGGTGAGTATTATGTGATCTTATTTTCTTTATAACTCAATAATAGTAGATTCTTGATAAAAACTAGTTTCAATCACACCAATTGGTTCTCGAGAAATTCCTAGGGTTGATATAGCTTTCAATTTTTTTTAAACAAATTCTTTTTTTACTTTCATTGATGAACAGATACCTAGCCGAACTGCAAACCGAGGAATGTTCCCATTGAACGGAACCTATTTTCAAGAGAACGAGGTGCCCTATTTTATTCTTGCTACAACTTCCTCACGTATATAAGCCTTTTCTCGAATGCACACTCACAATAAAACTACTTTCATACTGATGAATGAAATTCAACATTGTCAACTTTTTGTAGGTTTTTGCTGATCATTCGTCTAGTCGTTCACCCATAGAAATAAATAGGGATTTAGTATGGGAGCTTCGGCGTCAGACATGCATTGTGCACTTTGGTACTAGAGTACATAGTGTCACGAAAGGTATCTTACCATTTAATTTGAAAGAATATAAATGAACAACTGCTAAAGACAGTCACTAACTGCATCACTTGATCAGGTCAAACAAGAGAAGGACTTTATCACTTCTATAATGAAGGTACATGGATACAGTAGTCCCCCCTTTTTTTTTTTGTCTCAAATTTCTTTTTGGTGCTGTTGTAATTTTTATATAACTTTTCTTACTCACATTTAATCATGTTATCATTTATCTTCAGGATACATCTGTACCAGAGAATTTGACCGCAGGACAAAGTTTCCGAAACAATTATGTGTCGAAATACATGCCACCAACGTAAACAAAGATATTGGCAAGAAAAGGGCTAGACCTAGTACAACAAGGTTTTATTCAGAGGAAGATAGCGGAGACGAGTGGTCTGACTGGTGAACTTATTGACACCTCGACAAAGCTAATAAGGATATTGGTGAGTTTGTAATGTTGCAAAATTTGTCTAAATTGGCTTCACACTGACAAAAGGGAAATAAGGAACTGCATTCGCGAAAAGATAATTGCTAAGTTGACAACAATAATTCCAGTGTACTAAGCTTGTCGTCTGTTCGCTTTGCGAGTCAAATTTGATAGAGGAAATTCTTTTACGAGCTGATTTGCTTATAGCATAACGGGGTGTGTCACTTGAAAAAAAGAATGAAAGTCACGCAAGATTTATTTTCTGGTTTCAATATTTTGGTTGGGTGATGAATGTTTTTAGTTTAGTTGGAGATGAAAGCATAGGGGGCGGCTAATGGGCGGGTGACCGTCCCAGGCGATCACCTCCCATCCCCCCTATACAGTATGCACTACTCTCTTCCTTCCTCCTCTCCTTCTTCTTTTCCTACTACAACATAAATTTTTTAAAAAATAAAAAATACAAAGTTGAAAAAATTTGTGTATAGAAATACTATATATAAAAAATTTGAATTCAAATTTAAATTTGAAACGGGTATGTAAACTTTTGGCTTATAAACTTTGGGTCTATAAACTAATATTTGAATTCAAATTCAAATTTGAATCGGGTATGTAAACTTTTGACTTATAAACTTTGGGTCAATAAACTTTAAGTGTATAAACTTTAGATGTATAGAAATACTATATATAAAAAACATTTGAATTCAAATTCAAATATGAATAAGATATAATTCAAATTCAAATTTGAATTAGATATGTAAACTTTTGACTTATAAACTTTGGGTCTATAAACTTTAGGTGTATAAACTTTAGATGTATAGAAATACTATATATAAAAAATATTTGAATTCAAATTCAAATTTGAATCGGATATATAAACTTTTGATTTATAAATTTTGGGTTTCTAAACTTTAGATGTGTACAAACTTTAGATACATAAATTTACTAAAATAGAAAAAGTAATACGGTGAAAAAAAAAGAAAACCACGTAGAGGAGAGGGAGACGCGCTAGGGCCTAGGGGCGATCGATCGCCCCTTAGCAATCTCGAAAAGCATATCTGTTGCCTACAAGTGTGGCCCTTCTATGACGAAAGATGCTCTGATTGTGTAGTTTAATCCCATCATCAAATGTAAAGATAAATTAATACAGGCCAAGTCAATTGTGCAGAAGCCACCAAAGCAAGTTGTGCAGATACATTAGATACACAGCTCAACTGCCAAAACGAGTTGTTCTTGAAACCCCAGCTCACCATCTCCATCTCCATCGAGCGAGAGGGCACCAACCACTTTGGTGATCAAGAACATGGCCGCCGGCGGGAGGCCGGCCACCATGCGTGCCGTCCAGTACGGCGGCTACGGCGGCGGCGCCGCCACCCTTAAGGTCAGCTCTGGTTGATCTTACTTGCTTCAGATTTATCACCGGTCATGTTCAGAACAGGGGATTCCCAATTTTGTCTGGATTTCTGCCTGAGCTTTTGCTTCTCTTTTGTTTGTGAAGCACTCATGTTTCAGACAGGAACTATCATTCACATGCTCATTAATCTGGTTGAACTGCTATATATTGCAAGGTTCAATTTGTGCAAAACCAGGTTTGATGTTAGTAGCTGTATGATCAGCAGAAATAAACAAGTTATGCAAAGCTCAGAAACTAACAGGTTGAGGATAGGGAATTAGGGAGGGATTAGATGTTTCAATCTAACGGCAATGGAGTTGACTTGGCATGTTTATGTCATCATGTGCCATTTGGCCATTTGCTTGGAAGTATACTACAGAAACCAATTTATTTCTGCCAACTAGCGTAAGAGTTTTCCTAATGTCATTTTTTTACTCTGTCGGTCTAAATATGGGTGGACCCATCCTGGGCTAAGGCCCACCACCAGCCCATCCTATTTCGGCCCACATAAAACTAAGCATGGTGAGTCTATATTACATCCCTCTTATCTTCCTCTAGATTGAATTGCTTTCCCCAATCACAAAACCAAGTATACTATCTCCCTTATTTTCAAAAACAGTGCAAATCGACTTCTTTACTTATTCCCATGTGGGCAAAGAAACATCCGTTTTGGAAGAAAAAATTTGGAAGTATAAAATTTGGAAGAAAAAATCCGTTTACTAGTTCATTTCTGATATGGTAGTATAAAATTTGGAAGAAAAAATGAAGTAGAGTGGAATAAATGGGCAAAAAAAATCCCCCTTACCAACCCCACTTACATCCCTAGATGCATTTCTAGGCTCAGGTCGAAATAGATCATCATTTAAGCTAAATTTTGAAGTAAAATGTTCTACAAACTATGTTATACATTTCTGTTTCAGTTTGTGGAAATCCCTGTTCCTTCACTCAAGAAGAATGAAATTCTCATAAAAATAGAAGCAGCAAGCCTCAACCAAGCTGATTGGAGGATTCAGAAAGGATTGATGCGCCCGTTTCACCCAAAATTCCCATTTATCCCAGGTACGTACAATTTCTGGTCAAATTCTTTCAGATCATTTTTTTTTTGTTTTTCACCATGAAACCTCTGATGTAATCACTCTTCTCTCAAATTTGGGAAGCAGTAACGGATGTTTCTGGGGAGGTCATTGAGGTTGGCTCTGCGATTCACGAGTTCAAAGTTGGTGACAAAGTTGTCTCCAAACTTAACCTCTGGGTAATTTCGAATTCCAAACACCTTATCCCAAATTCAAAATTCCAGGGAATTCAAAATTTAGTGAACATTGAAATCAATAGATTGTCTCCCTGGATTTTGAATTTTTTTCCACAAAAAATTCAATTCAAAAAATTACAATATGTTGATTTAAATGTTCACTAAAATTTAACCTCTGGGTAATTTCGAATTCCATACACCTTATCTCAAATTCAAAATTCCAGGGTGACAATCTATTCATTTCATAATTCACTAAATTTGAGCTGTTTGGACGCTATATGACCTGACCAAATTTACCGCAAATCTCCAATGACAGAAAGCAGGAGGCCTGGCAGAGTACGTGGCGGCATCGGAGAGCGACACCGTGTCCCGCCCCGCCGGAATCTCCGCCGCCGACGCGGCAGGGCTTCCCGTCGCCGGCCTGACGGCTCTCCAGGCGCTGAGCTCCATCGGCACCAAGTTCGATGGCTCGGGCACCGGCGCCGACGTGCTGATCACCGCGGCCTCCAGCGGTGTCGGCACGTACGCCGTCCAGCTGGCCAAGCTCGGCAACCACCGCGTCACCACCACGTGCGGCGCACGCAATCTGGACCTCGTCGGCAGCCTCGGCGCCGACGAGGTCCTCGACTACGCCACCCCGGAGGGGGCCGCGCTCGCGAGCCCCTCCGGTAGGAAGTACGACTACATCATCAACCTCACCGACCGCGGCAAGTGGTCGGTGTTCAGGCCGCAGCTGAGCAGCAACGGTGGCAGGGTCGTCGACGTGTCCCCCAACCTCGGCAACTTCTTGGCGTCGGTGATGACGCTCTTCTCGCGGAGGAAGAGGCTGTCGCTGGTGATCCTGACGCTGGGGAAGAAGGAGCTGGGGTTTCTCCTCGAGCTGATGAGGGAAGGGAAGCTCAAGACGGTGGTCGACTCGCGGCATCCGTTCGAGAAGGCCGCGGAGGCGTGGGAGAGGAGCATGAGCGGCCACGCCACCGGGAAGGTCATCGTGGAGATGTAAGATTGTGATCTGTACATGCTCGTGTTTTTTTATTATCTTTTGATGTTGTCACACAAACTCTTTCTCTAGTTCTTCTGATTGCCTCGTGGTTGTATATTGCTTATGATTTTCTGAAACGTGTTGTGCATTTGTCAAAATCCGACCGAGATATTGTAACGTCCCGCCTTCCCCCAGGCCGGGCCCGCTTACATCTGATAGCTTTCATAGGTCATAGACTGCCCTCACAGACCAACCCATATCATTTCTGCACACTTTGTCCTCACTCGTGTGCACCCGGGAAGAATTTCCCGGTCGGTCACCCATCCCAAATTGCTCCAGGCCAAGCACGCATAACCCTAGAGTTCTTTGGAGATTGGCTTCCGGAAAAGAAGTTGCAACTTGTTGATATGAGTATTCTATTAATTCTATTAAGCCCTAGGCCGGAATGTTACACCCTCACCCCCCTTAAGAGAGATCGACGCCCCCGTCGATCAACCCTAGGCCAGGAACGTCCTCTCTTGGCCACGTCCATGTGTCCAGTGCCAGCGCATGTGCCATGCTGTGTAACCACTCCCGGTCTACACCAGCCATGCGCACCATGCCTGCGCAACTGCGATACACGCGCCCGTGAAACCGCGAGAGTCGGCTCTGATACCATTTCTCACGCCCCGAACTAGTCCTGACCGGAACTAGCCCGTGACGCTCCAAATTAACCTGTTAATCGATACCAGTCCCAGGAAACAGTGCTGGTATCACAGGGAGACAGAATATCACAGCAACAGAGGTCTCTTTATTATAGAGTAGAGGTACAGTCATGTTGGGCTGCGGACAGATCCCGAGCTCACAACTGCATTACAAAAGGGAAACGGAAGCCAGGACTTGGACCAATCAACACAGGCACGACTTGGGAACTAGGCCGAAACCCTAAAACTCATCGTAGCCGGCTTGCTCCTAGAAGAACTCCTCATCAGCGGGATCCGCTTCATCTTCTTCAGTGACTGGGGGGGATTATTTATATAGAGTAAGGGTGAGTACGGGAGTACTCAGCAAGCCATGGGAAATAAGTGTTTAATGCAGGCTTCAAAGAAAGGCTGTTGGTTTTTGCAATTGATTTTATTTGAACTCTTTTCTAAAAACAACTAAGTGAGTGCTTCTCAAACGACACGGATGAGACAGTGCGTCTCGTCCGGTCGGAGTATGTGCAATGTATCAGTCTTTAGAAATGAAACAAGGTTGGCACCCGGCCAATAGCTTTTCAAACGGCCACCCGGGCCAACAACTTTTCAAACGGCCACCCGGGCTAACAACTTTCAAACGGCCACCCGAGCCTAGCTGATCCCATCAGCTGCAGATTTTTCAAACATCGAACCCCTTTCCACAACAGTAATTTCACAAGCAGTAGTCAAACAAAACTACGCTAGGAATCACCTCACATCCGCCCATGACCGTGGGCACGGCTGTTCGAACAGTTTTTTAACCTCTACAGAGGGGGTACACTTTACCCACACGACATTACTAACCCGGATCACCCAGCCCGTGGGGATCAGCCACGTCGGGAGACCTCCAAGCTTTCATGACAAGGCATTTCCAAAGCCGACACAGGTTTACCATATGCCGACGAGAGGGGTCCCAGACCAACAACAGGTTAGCTCCCAGACCATACTGTGCCAGGAAGCCCAGGGGTCCTCCCCGACACCACCCCGGCGAATCCACATGTCTCTCGGCATCAAGGCTCCCCTGATAAGCTAGTTACTCAGCCAGGGGTGTCCCATTCCACCCATGTGGTCGTACTTGTCTTATGTTTGGATGAAATTCCAAGGAAACGGTCCTTAAGTGCGAGAGCGGAAAACCGTACACCCGGTACGTTCCCCGATCCGCGGTTTTGGAAATTCATTTAATTCGCAAGCACCGACCCAGGTGTCGGGTTTTCCAAGTCTTTGTAAAACCCAAGTTTTACCCAAGTTGTTTTTTTCAGATTTTAAGTTTGAAGGCGTCCGTCGATACTCGCACTGGGTGCACGAATATCATGACGCAACTAGATGGATACAAGGGGGACATGATATAACAAATAACAAAGGAAGGGTCAAATGTAACAAATTAGGTAGGTCCGCCAATCTGCCTTGTAGACGGGACAAACAGATTAAGTGCGATCCTAACAATGCATAATATTTTTCAAGCAACATAATTAAATTTCAAATATAGCCTCAAGATGTTCAAAGGTGGCTTGCCTTGCTCGAGATCTGGAGCTTGATCCTCGAAATCCTCGCACTGCGGGTCTTCGGGCTCCGAAACTACACGCGAAACGGGACAACTCAACAAATGGAGAAAATAAAGCCCTATTAATGACCTCTAAGCGTGCCATTAGGTAGATCTCGAGATTTGAGGAATTTTGGAAGTTGGACGGAGTCAAACGGATTTACGGTTGGGAAGATATTGAATTTCTAAGATTATTGGATTTTTGGTCTAAGGGAAAAGGATTTAATTAAATCCTTTTTGGAAAAGAAAAGAAAAGAAAAGAGAAGAGGGAGGGAAATTAGACTTTCCTCGGGCGGCTAGGGCGCTGCCCGAGAGAATTGGGGCGGCTCGGCCGAGCTTAAATGGGCCGGGCGGCCCAAGGCGACCCAGGGAGCGCGCGCGCGGGAGGGAGGAGAGAGAGAGAGCCGGTGGACCGGGCTCACCGCGCGCGGTCCCGAGTGGGACCCGCTTGTCAGCGGCTCGACTCACCGTGCGGAGGGAGCACGCGGCGCACGCGTGCGGGCGGGGCTGGGACGCGGTGCACGCGGTGCACGCGCGCGGTTCGCGGAGGAACGGATGCGGCGGGCCCACGCGCAGCCTCACGGCTCGCGGTGGAACGCGCGCACGGTGAAGGGCTGACCGGGGTCGGCTCGACCCGGTCTTGGCCGAGCTGGCGCCGATGTGGCGCCTTCGTGGCGCCTACGTGGCGCCTACGTGGCTGCCACGCGGGCCGGCGGGAGGTAGACGACGACGCTGGCCGGAACGGACGGCGGACGACAGCGGCGAGCGGCGGAGCGAACCACGGCGATACAGGCGAAAGCGAGAACACCGGGTGGTTGCACAGGACAAGGGGAGACGAGCCAACGGCTCGGATTCGTCGGAGGGAACTTGACGGCGACGAATTGCGGCGGCGGCAAGCGGCCGCGGAAGAAGGGGGAAAAGGCGACGAGGTCACGAGGGGCCAATTCCCGGCGGCGAGAGCATTTATGCGGCCGCGGGAATCCGTTGCTAGCGTCGGATTGGGCGGAGCTACGCCGAGCGAGGCCGGCGACGAGCGGGTGCTACGGAGCACGGGCGGCGACGGCGGCGAGCACTCGGCGAGCGATGGCAACGGTCGGGGCGGCGCCGGCTAGCTACGGGGAGGCTACTCGAGCTACTACCGAAAACTAAGGGGGAGAGATGGAACGAGGAGGGAGAACGGAGAGATGCACTACCGTGCGAGACGGGGCGCAGTGACGAGAGGCTGACGGCGCGGGAGTAATCTCTCCGGCCTCGGGCCGAGGAAGAGGAAGGAGAGGGCGCGCCCGGAGTCCCCTTCCGCGTCCACGAACGCACCGGCGAAAAGAGCACGGGAGGCGGCGGCAATGGCGTGGAGGCGAATGGGAGAGGAAAGGAAAGGGGGAGGCTTGGGTTTATAGGACGGCAATGTCGGTTTGGGAACCGACTTAGGGCGGTCAAAGGAGAGGGCTAGCGCTCGGCAGTCGCGGCCAAAGCGGCGACAGGGAGGAGGGAGGAGGATGACGCCGGCGGGAGGAAAAAGGGGAAACGAGGGAGAGAAAAGGGGGCTTGCCCTNTGCCTCTTCGGGAAAAGGAGGAGGGAGCAGGGGCGACGCGGCAGAGGGAGGAGGAGCTCTGCCTCCGTCCCTTGGCAGCTTGCGCGCGGAGTGGCGGGGGCCGGGCGATGACGACGGCGATGACGGCTGGGTGGTTTGGAGCGGNGGCGACACGGGCGACAGGCGCGACAGGCGCTGACGACGGCGGCGACCAGGCGGTCGACCACTACGGCACGCGCGCGCAGGATGCAACGGGAGGCGCGGCGGATGGAGTGGCGCGGCTCGGGCACGCGCGCTGGCTGCGGGGCCGAGCGGCTGCGCGGCTGCAGGCGGCAGGCAGCGGGACAGGGGGACGCGGACGGCGCAGACGGCGCGGCACGGGCGACAACCACGCGGGCGCNGCACGAACAACGGCGCNCGGGGCCGGCTTCGTGGGCGGGGAGTCGCCAGGGATGGGGAGAAGGTGAGTGAGGGGGGGGGGGGGGAGGGGCGCTCGCGCGGCGCTCGCACGCGCGGGCAGAGCGAGGGGAAGGGAGGGCGCTCGGCGCGAGCGGCTCACGGCACGCGTCCGGCGCGCGGCGGAGCGGAGGGAGAGAGAGCGAGAGAGAAAGGGAGAGAGCGGGAGCGCGCCTGGGGAGGGGAGGGGGAGATGGGCCGAGAGAAATTCGGCCCATCGACCCCGGGGGAGGCAAAATAGACTTTTGCGGAGGAATTGATTTGGAAGGATTTGGATTCGGAATTGAACTCGACGATAGATCGGGGATTGAGATCTGAGATGGCACGGACACTAGACAACAAGCAAAGAAACAAATTTCGCAATTAGGGTTTTTAAGAGATAATTTTTCCGCTAGGCTCCATGACGGAACGGGCGCTACAGATATATAGCTGGAACATGCCAATATCGCGCTAGCTCAGAACCTCCCAAGATTTTTACAAATTTGGTTAAAATTAATGATCCACTAAAAGTTGTTCAAATTTGGTTGAATTTCATTCAATCTGGTTTGAGTTAATCTAAAAAATGGGTTTAAATTCAAGATTCTTTCAGCGATATTTGATTCAAAGTTGTTAAACGAAAAACTGGGCTCCTACTTGCGAAAATGCAAGGTATTATGGCGTCGAGTTATTGCAATTCAGGTTCGAAATTTTGGATCCCCAACGAGTAATTGTCTCACCCAAAATTTTCAGAAATTTTCTTAATTTTTTATGAATTTGGTCCAAGTTTATTGAAATTCAATCAAAATTTATTAAAATTCAAATAATTTTGTGCCAAAAAGTGCCAAAAATCCAGAAAGTACCGAAATTTTGATCAAAATCGAAAATGCAGACCCAGGGATAACCTTTGATTTGGAAAAAGGACAAAAAAAAAAAAT